CTTAAATCTTCAATTGTATTTCTACCAATCTTCTCTGTTCTCCAACAATCATGGATGCTTTTGAAATTAAGACTTCAGAAACTTAAATTAATTTAATTTTTATTCAAGACTTTTGCATTATGTCTTGCTTTAGTTCAAATGACAGTGCATGCTTGGAGTTTATTTCCAAGAAATGAAATATTTTATGGTTTTTAAAAGTACACAGTACAACTTGAATTAGCTTTAATATGTAAGTACATGTGCATATGTAACAAAATAATTAATTTAAGAAAGTTCAAATACTAAAAAAATTATTATAATCTCTCAACATCAAACACACACAGATGAAGTACTGGTATGCACATATAAAGTGCATACTCTTGTTCAAAAGTATGTTATAAAGCTCAACTAGTCACATCTCATTATGCATATAATTTACTGTAAAAGTTTCTGCAATTTTACAGAGAGTATTCTAACAGAGCTTCTTTTGAAACTGATTTATTTTTTAATATAATCCAACAACACTCAAAATACAATGAACTTCGTAGCAATCTCTCAATGTAGAGCACTTTCAGTGTGGGATTATATGAACAGAATATTGGAGATAACATTATGAACCGGCAAATAACTTTTATCATTACAATACTAAAAATAATAAATCACATGCTGTCCTTCATTTTGCTCAGCATTGAAAATGCATTCAAGAAGTTTTATCCAATAAACAGCGAAGACACATTCAATATTATTGCTTCTGGATGAAGAAACCAAAATTCCTTGTAAAGAAACACTAATTCAAATTTGAAAGGTTGAATAACGTCACACAATTGTCAAATATTCATGACAGGTTACTCAACGTAATTAATAGCATTCTTTTCCAATCACACACGTTAGATTATTGAAACAATGTATGCTTCCAAGACACAATTCTGGATATAAAAACCCAATTTGGTGTATATTTCTCTAGATCCGACGGACTGCAAATGTATCAAACTAATTCACCCATACATAACTATATTTTTCCCCACAATATATCAAATTTCTTTGCATACAACTGATTTTACAATCAAATTCTAAGAAAATGCATTGCTAATGATTTTTAATATTTACATGTTTTCTCAAAATTTTACTACGAAATTAAATTCATAAAAGTGAGGTCCAACATTCAATTAAATTTAGAAAATAATCAGTTTGAGTTTTGCGATAGAAAAGCCATTCAAATGTTACATAACATTTGAATAAATTAAATTTAATTTGAATAGATATAACTGAACATATTATTAGTCTGTTCCTATAAACTGCCATTCATTTGCTTACTATTTCCTTTCATTTTTCCCGTGCTATCATGAAAGCCTGCCCGACTACATTTGCAATAAATGACTAAACATAATTTCATTATCTATGAATAAATTAGAAAAAATTCCATAATAATACTCAGAAAAGTCAACACTTTGTTAATTAACGCTCATTTCTAATAATTATGGACAAATATTATTGTAACTTACAGAGTTATCATTGTTTTTATCTGATATTAATTATAGAGTGTTTTTTCTTTCATTGTGTAGGAAGATGGGCAAAGAAAACTTTTAAGCTTAAAAAATTAGGCAATTCTTTCATCACATAACAGAACAAATTTAAAAACTAAAAATGTTAATGTTACACAGATGCTGATTAGAAACTGAGCCGTAGTTATAGAAAGGAACTCGGACCCAAAATCTTAATGAATCCAAAACACAATTTTCGTTTAACACCTAGGTTGGGTGTGGTAGTTTCCCACACCATCACATTTTTATGATTAAAATTTAATTTCCAACAGCGGTAAAGCCTTCGTTGATAATGTATTTCCTATTAGGACACATTCATTTCTTAATGGTTACAAAGACATTGTGCCTGAAGTTTTTCTATCTTCACAATTATTGTATGGGATGAATTTTAAGGGAGATGGAAGGTGTCTAGTTCATCACTATAAGAGCAGGTGGTGTCACGAGGGCACCACTATTGCAACCTCATGTTCACATGGCATCACTCTGCAGAGGTGAAAATCTATTAATGTGTATGTATGAATGCTCACAACTGACGTGCATGGATGTCACAAACATAAACAGCATCCTACATTGAAGGGTTACAAAGAAAAAGTATTAATTTAAGAGAAACACCTTTGATTATATAATTTGTGGTATATAAATGATATTACATTTATACTTGTATGTAAAATGTAATGTATTTACTGGCATTAAAATTTAGTTTTACTGTAATGAAATAGCCAATGAATGTGGCACATATTTTATTTGTTGGAAGTTTACTTAGTTTATAAATCCATTATAAGAAATATTTCAAAAGGTTATCACAATTAAGTTAAATGAAAAAATACCTCGATTCATCTCTGAAACCTCTTATATTACAAGTAATAGATTGGGAACTATTACAACAATGAATGTAATTATGATACATTCATTATCAAGGATTTATGAAAGTCAACTTGCTTCACAATTAACTAGTCCATTAAAAATTCCATTATAAAATTTAGAGTTGCATTCCTTTGAAGTTATATAAAATATTCAATCCATTATCACATTCCTATAAAAAAGAAATAAATTTCCAGCAGTGGTTATGTGTTGATTGATAAATTATATTCTGTTAGGGCTTATTCATTACTTAATGGTCAATAAAAAAAAATTGTGCCTTCACAATTACTGTTCGGCATGAATTTTCACGAAGATAGTACAATGACCATAGTTCCAAAACCAGAAACCTCCACATGGCTGTCATCGGATTTCCTTGGTAAGGCATTTGTGTTGAGACTACAATGATGATGACGATTATGATACAAATAATAAACATGAAGATGTAATGAGGAACCGAGGAAAATGAAGAACTTTAAGGAAACCTGCCATGAACCCAATCATAACAACCCTCAGGGCACGCACTCAGCAGCACTTTACCAATGATATTTATATTTTCACTTTTCAATGTATATATTTTAAATTCTTAAAAGGTTTGGACAGGAATAGAAACTACCATATCATTGTACACAAGTGGAACTTGTCCAAAACTGTGTTTCAAGAAAACAAAAAGTTGATTCGCTTAAATTTGTCAACTCGATATCTTTTGCTAGATACAAAATAAAGCTATTTTTCTTTTACACACTTGAATATGTTATATTACTCTAATGAAGAGGTGCAAAACAAAAATTGCACACCATAGAGAGAGGGGAAGGTGAGCGAGGTGAGAGAAAGGAGGAGAGGGAGGGAGAGAGAAAAAGAGCGAGTCCAAAGATGTATTTTTCCTGCAAGTTTTCACTGTTCAGTGACTTTCTTAAAAATCAAAATATACCTCAGTGATTTAAACAACTAAACAGCATCAAAAACTATATTCCACTTGGACTGGATGGAAATTAATCTCTGGGCCCAGCGGTGGACAGTAAGCAGTCTGACCACTATACATCATGAATCTTCACAATGATAACTCTGTGCAAGATAAATCTTCAGTCAAACATACAATGCAATCCTTGGAGATATTAAAATTAAAACACGTAATTTAAAATTTGCAATTGTTTGATACTGTTAATTAAATTCCATATCTAACAATATTTTCATTTCAAATTTTGAAATTACAAGTGTGAAGAAATGAACATTTATTTCCAACCTTTAATACACTTGAGAAAAATTCTCATGGCAATTAAATTTTATTCAAAACAATAATTATAATGAAAAGGAAACATTTCCCAAGCTTTAAGGTTTCAAAATATTTAAGTATCATTTTGTTGTATCAAGTCTCATGACTGAAGGGCTTGAATTAAAATATTAACATAATTTATGTAAAAATTTATTTATGCACATACTTGCAAACTAATGCCAAATACTTCATTTCTATCTTTTTTTGTTGCTAGCATAGGTTTAGCAGATATCTAGAAAATTGACTTACTCCCTGGCAAGCTTCTAATTTGTTTAAGTCTTTTCTGATTCTACAGTGCACAACAACAAACATGAAGACACTAATTTTCAAAGACGGCTAACTTTGTATTGAGCTGATAGTAATGTTACTATATCTAGCTGTATAAAATTTACTTTACATCTTAAACAACAAATAGATTCTTTTATTAAGAAGTTCAAATTTACGAGATGTAATAACTCAGATAAAGAAGTTCTCTTCAAAAAATCGTTAAAATTACACTAGAAAAATTATTTGAGTGCTACAAAAACTATAACAATTAACAAAAAACTCGTAAACAAAATAGAGATGCAAAAAATAACTGAAATGTCCTGTTTGTTTCATTCAGTTTCATCGTAACAAAAGTGTGGACCTTATGAGCCTGAAGTAATGTCCATAATGTCATGGTTACAAACAAAAATCACAATTATCCATTTAATTCATTGTAAACACAGAAGAAGAAGAAAAGGAAAGAAATATACCAGTGAAGGGTAACAAAGTGCTAATGTACAATAGATTTTGATTTACATTAATCAATTTCAAAATATAAAGAACATTGCATAAAGAATTTCCCTAAATAACATTGATGGTATTCGTGAGTTTGCCATGTATGAAGAGAAATTTGACATACCAAGATCAGAGAAAATTATCCTATCTTTAGCATAAAAACACTTGAACAGAAATATTACATATTAAATAAGTTTTCTAATGAATATTCAAAAGTTAATTTGCATAATACTTAACAATTATGTCTATAATTAAAGGAGGATACATTACTTCTGAAAGAAAGGAATGTCTTATTTGTCACTAAAAATAAGGGACAAAAAAAACGTAGGAGGAAAGTTTGGAAAAGAAAGGAAGAAAATGAATGAGCATTTGTCAAAATGAAGTAATATGAAGAGTAGATGACAGAGGAACAATGTTCTGTCCTAAAATTTAAGATCACTCATTAAATTATCATATGATGCAAAACTGACATCTAACACTTATAAATATACAGTAAATATATGTCACTCGTTTTACGTATGACAACAAAAATATTGGCAGTGTCGTTAGAAAGAAGAGAACTGCATGTCTGAACACACATTTAATGAATCGACTGAGAAATACTTTTGAAATATTTTAATTCACGTTTTAAAGATTCTACATCACGCTTTGTTTTTAAACACATTGGACTTGTTCTAAAGATTCTTCTTACTTTCAACAATACCACACGATTTCAAAGTGTTCATTTCAAAACACCAATTTCACACAATCATACAAATTAAAACACATGTGGATACCAATATACAAAATATTATTACATGAGGAACTTCCCATCATTTTCTGTTACACAAAAAGAATGTAGTTATTTAGTAACAGATTGATTCTATTCAAGTGCAGGAAACTTTATTAACATTTACAATATATATATATCTATATAATAAAATTCAATAAACATCAACAAATAGTGTACTTTTGAAATTGATGACAGGGCAAATGCTTACAATTTCATTGGAAGTACATTTTACAAAAACAGAACAAATGCCACATTGACATTTTGAGTTGTGACCAGTAATCCACATAAAGGAATGGATATGACAAGAAGAGATAACAAGATACACATTAAAGATAAAATCATTCCCACTTATTCATCACTAAAAGTTTCGAGAAAGAATAGAGTATTTAATTAACATATTCTAACATGAAATCTTTTAAGACTGCATAAATTTCATTCAACATTCACAGGATGTGACATGTAACCATATTAATACGAAGTTATGTGCCATGTTGCGAAAAGAACACTTATTAAATAAATAAGCACACAGCATCCCCACACTTAAGTAATTATATTGCAAACAAATAAATATAACCTAGTATATTACATAACAAATGGCGATACACCTCATATATATAGTATTAAGAATGCATCACAAAGACTTACCATATTGACTCACATAATTTCCTCTCCTTATTCCAAACTTTTCCTGGCCTAGAGCATTTTTACAGAGTATAGGATACAGCCTCACATTTAGTGAAATCAATGTGATTATGAAAAAATTAGAAATAATAATATTATTATTATTATTATTATTATTATAGAAAGAAATATTAAAAGCTAACACAAACAACTGAACTAAAAATCTTGACACACTTATCAAAACATTTACAATTTGTTACATTACACAACCTTTTCCTGTTCATGTGCAGTCTTAATATTGGACTTTTGTACCTTTGAAAATACAACAGAAATAACAAAAATTAGATGAGTCCCTTTAAAAGAGATTCTACATTTTCTATCTTTCTTTTGAAATATTTCTAAGTAATAAATTGTATGTACAACTTTCCACTCCATTTTACGGAGGATGTTTTATTTACCTCAGAACATTGACCTTCGGTAAGAGATCTGTTTATTACAACCTCATTCATATTATGGTGAAATGAACCAATATCTATCACTGTAAAAAGTGCAAATTTATAAAAGTACAAATCTATGAAACCAATTACATGTTTCACTCTTGATTACAAGTCATAGTTCTACAATGAAAATATTTCTGTTGGATTTCCATTACATAAAATAAAATACTAAATAGGAAATGTAGGGCACCTGGCATGACTGGAGCAAATTACAATGATTCTGATGATAATGTAAAGTATGACAATGTACACTGATGATTGAAATGACAACAAACACAACACTTGCTAAAATAATTTAGGAACAATTAATTGGACCTTATGTGAACAAATTTGGCACACCTAGTTAATCTCATATTTAAAAGGAAAATTAATTTTAGCACTTTCATTTTGAAGATGATTTTCACAACACAATTGATTTGTTAATGTTCTTATTTCCCATGTTTGTTATGATTAGTTACAAGAAAATTTGTAATTTATTTTCTCAATCTTTCTTTTTCATTTGTAACAGACTAAATTGATATATCATAAATACTGAGATTTTCAAATCAAAAGATTCTATTTTGCATAAGGAGCAAATCATCTTCTTTAATTAGCAGATTAGGTGTCACATAAGTAATTTGAAGAAATAAAAAAATAGCCATGGTTCACTGTGATTTTTATTTGCAACAAAAAAACAACTATGGATCATTATATGTTTTTGAGAGGATGTATATCTACACACACCTGCAAGTGAATATCTAATTTTCATGAAAAGCTACAGACAATGTTTTTGCTTGCATGAAGTATATTGCTGCAAATGTATCACTGTTGCCAGAATTGTATTAACAATTATCACAAAGCATTTAAGCCACACCTGACAACACCATTTAATAAATAAAACCATGGCATTCCTATTCTATAATTTGAAAGAAAACGTTATAAAAAAAGAGCTAAATAGAACAATATTCACCTTATACTTCTCAACACATCTATGAGATGGAGTTCTGTATTATGGTTCTACCATCACTAATAGGTGCAAATAATTAAAAAGAATGAGAAATGATGTACTTATTTCTATTTTCGGCCAGGATATCAAATGAAACAACAAGGGAGGAAAATATAAGAGTACAGGTGGTATTTCCTTGTGTTCTCTTATTGCCACATATTTCTGCCACCTACGTCTTTTGGGTAATATACTAAAATTCTGTAGTTCATGCACATCCAAACATTATTAATTTACACTGCAGTTTAGAAGCAACATCAGCAAAATCAATTTTGTTCAAACCAGAGTGTAACAGTAAATGTTAATAGCAATACCATCTTAACATATGCACAATCAAGTCATCACACTTAGCAGTCATAAAATCTTTGCAACAAGATATTTTAAAATATTATTTCATGGTATAATAAGCAGACAATTGTGCTGAAGAACTGAGCAAGCCCAATCTCTGCTTTTGTTTCCTTTGTTCCGTCATCTGTAAGTAAAAGATATACAAAATAAAATGAAAACTTTTAATACATATGAAATGCTACAAAATAAAATAAGATATACTGAATATAATTATATATAAGTTCTTGCAGCATTAAGTATGAGAATTATTACCTGATCTTTCAGTTCAGTCAACTGTTGAGAAAGATTTGCAACCAAAAGTTGAGTTTTCTCTAGTTGCACTTGTAGAGTTCTCAATTCCATTTGTTCACCTTCCCCTTCATCAGCAGCTAATGACATTGCCCTGAGTCGAGGAAACCACTCCAAATTTCTGTCCTAAAAGAAAATAATGAATATGGCTGAATTTTAACATTTATCATTCACTGAAAGTAAAAGAAACAAACTGCTATGAAGAATATTTTCTTATGATGGCTGCAAAGTAATTACACTTAACAGTCGATTTAATGAAGCGCAAAAATTGAATTTGAAATATTAAGTGTATTTGTTAATTTCTTGTATGACCAAAAATTATATTTAATCTGGGAGAGATGACACAGCCCCACCTATCTACATCAACTATCAGTTTCTACCTTTTTTCACATTACATATACCTTTCATCACATACCTTATCTTTTGTTTGAATGCAGGAGGCATTTCAGAGAAGAGTCAAGTTTTTAGAATGAGCTATGCTATTTAGAATAAGCAAAAAGTGTTCATTGGTACTGGTACATCGATTTAAAGTATTTCTGTGACCATACGAAATATCCTTAGTTTTCTTTTTGGCATTTTAGCTGTAATAACTTCTTTGTAAATATTTCTGATGCTAATAGAAAAAAAATCAGTTTTGCCAGTCTTTGTTAAATGCTCTGATTCCTCTGCTATTTAAAATGAATTGTAATAAAAATATATGTGGGTCATTGATAGAAAAAAATCTTTAATTGATACCTGTTATCTGTAATATTTTTAGGAGAAACATAAAAGAAACACAATATTACAAATGGTAAATGTCACAGTAAATGCTAATTTTATGCTTTGCAATTTTCTTTGCTTTTCGTGCATTTAGACAGTGTTTACTTGTTTACCTGCATACTTTTGCTAAATAAATGATTGTTTATTATTCAAAATAATGATTTCATTTTTTGCTAAATATACAAACACTTAGGCTCTGCACAACAACAGTAAGAAGTTATAAATGACCAAATTACAAAAGGAATGTTTAATAAGAGCCTAAAGAACATTTTCAATAACTTGTTGGTATTTTATCTGGCTAAATATTGTTTATAAGTATAACATTGCTACAAAAGCCTACCTTCACCATTGCATACACGTAACTCTCTGGACCAGTAAATTCAGTTGGATCTTTGACTTTCACCAAAACAATGAAAAACAGATAATGCCACATATTGTGTTCACTTTTAATATGTTCTTCAAAGCTTACAGTTTTATTATCAAAATCTGATCTCTGCAATGCTATAAAAGAAGAGCAAAAATACATCTTCACAAAAAATATCTAAAACTTGTACATCATATTTAATCCTCCTATTAATATCCTCTTTGGCCTCATGTTTCAAAATTAATAATTGATTTCTTTTATATCAAACACTGTCAAGAGGACTGATTGAAAAGATTTGGTAATTGACAGAGTATACAGAGGAGAGAAGAATAATAAAACCAATAATTATGTGTTTTTCTTAAGTCGAGAGAAAATTTTATTTTGAATATCAAATTTAGAGACCAACAATACAATGCAAGATAATATTGAAAATCTAAATCATACTACGTAAGATTTACTATGAAAATTTGATGTTATGTATGATGTTGAACATACATTTATAGCATTTCATGTACATTACAAAGTAATTTCTATTGTCTCATAAATGAAATTTATGTTACTCACCACAAATGAAACAATGATTCTTTAGAATCAGTTCCTTATTTTGCTTTTCACTTCTCAAATCAGCAAATGTATCAATAATAACACCAAAAATGAGATTCAAAACAATAATAATCACAATGAAGAAGAACAGAAGATCATACACAACTCGTGCAACAAATAACGCTTCCTGAAAAATATCAATTTTGCCAAGTTTTATCATAAGAAAAATTTCTTAATATTATAAAAGAACCATTTTGTACAACAGAATTACGATTGTTTTACAATTTAACATAAATTTACGATTGAATTTTTGTTCTTACAGAATACAAAAATCAACAGAATGACATTTATCTAGTCAAAGTCCAATAAACCTCTACTTACTTGGCTACTTGGAGCACGGAGAATGTCACCAATTCCACCTCCATTTCTCAAACCTTGATTCAAGGTTGTAACAATGCACATCACCAATGAGTCGCAAGCGCGCTCCCTCACTTCTCCAGATACTGAAACCATTGTTGCTATATTTTTTGGAGTAAGATCAGGAGCTGTGAAACAATTTCAAGGCAGATTACTGAGCTTGACTCTTATACTTTTAAAAATATATCGTCATTGTGCCAGCTCTGTGGCAATCAAAAACTGGCTTTGTGCCATTTAAAAAAAATGAGATATGTACACTTTAAAAAGCAAGAAAGAACATTGAATTGTACTTAAAATTAATACCTTAATCATGCCCTACTTGTAAGAATGTCTATTATCTAGCATGAAACAAAGAAAAATAATTATTTCATAGTGTTTGATTTCTCCTATAAACAGACATTCATTTCACAAGGCCATTAAGGGCCATTCACACGTGTCATTAAGGGTGTACTAAAACTTCAACTCCTCTTCATAGAAATATCCTTCAGGAGTCAAATTTTTTGTTTCCTTATTGCATATTTATATTATTGAAGCAATTTCAGAGTAAGCACCATTGCTGCCAAGCTATTTCCCACTCCTCACAACAGATTTCATTAAGGTAAAAGATATCGGTCTTTAATATTTTAATTGTAGGAAGACGCCAAAAAAATTTGAATTTTTGCAATTTTCGAAAAATCAGGGTTTGTAATAAAAATGACATTTGCTTCACACTCTTAAACATCTTTCACACTATCCAACAACAAAATTTGATCAAAAACGTTCAAGCTATTTTTTTTTAAAAATATCCCAGGGGTTTCATGTAAAGCACACCCACCTAAATTAAAATATCAGTTTCAAATTCAAGAGGCCACGACATCAGCAAGATCGATTAGGGAATATAAGTTTTGGAGAAAATCGGATGAACAGTTTACCCACTAGCGTTGTTCACAGATGGACAGTTTTACAGTCAATCGATTTTTTGGTTATACACATTATAAACACATTATTATACCCACTGTTATACACATGGATTCTGAAAAGTATACCACCTGTTAGAGGGTTTTTTCTAAATTTAGCAACTGGATTTACCCACTTTTTCTTTACCAGAGCCCAGCAATAAGAGTTTTTCTGCCAAACATTCACCCTTTTCTCCCGCAGTATTACATTACTTTCTCTCTACTACATAAGCAGTAGTGAGAAAGTAAAAATGGGTTCTTTAAAACATCTTTTACTCTGTGCTAAAATGAAGGTTTACATAGCTTAACACTTTTTAATAAGCAAAACTATTGTTAACTATTATTTACTTCTGTCGCAAACAGAATTTTCTTTGCCATTTCAAATAGGTAAAGGATGACATAACAAGAAATAGTATTATTAAAACAAAATTACTATGAATCATGTTTCATTTCAACATGATTTGGATATCAATATTGTCAAAATTTGCATTTTTAATACAATAAAATACCAGGGTAACAAAATTGTGAGAACCTCAGTAATTATTTTCTTATAGTTAAATTTCCTTACATTGATAAAAGTTATTTCTTAAGAACAGTATGATAAAATCAACAAAAAGAATATCCTTTGTAGAATCTACATTACTTCAGTATGGATTTGCAAATGACAAACCTTAATATTTATTACATATGAGGAATATGAAATTCTAAGTTTCTACTTATTCAGCCTCTTTCAATGTGGAATTTATATCATAGCTCACTAAAGATATTCCTCCCAAATATCTCCTGAACAATTGCAGACATCAAAATGTGGTTTTCATTCAAACAAACATATGCTATGAACACGTAAGAAGCTGTATAATATTATCAATTGCAGTTCTTACTGCAGAGATATTGTCACAACTTCCCATTTTTTAAATGGAAAGTTAAAGAAACCATAAAGGTTTATTTAACTTATAATAATGAGAATGAAGTGACAAGTTCATAAATATGCATTTTGCCTAATGTTACATAGTATTTTTAAGAAATGTCAGAGTTTTTAGTATTCACACAAACTGTAAAGTTCTGCCATGATCACAGGGAAATCGAAGTGACCAACACTGCAAAGATATTCTGTTCTATTCTGTCTAGTGGAGTCGAAAAGATAGCACTGTCATGATGGGTTGACATAAGGATAGGTAAAAAAAAAAGATTGAATGACCAATGAAAAGCAATGGAAACCGAACAGCACCCCTCAAAAATCAGGAAACATTTGTGAGCACAGTGAAAAAGTGAAGAAACATGCGATAAAACATATACGAATGAGAAGCTGGACATAAAGTTTTACCTTCTGGATTAGAGTATTTTGAAGTCTCAGCTGTAAAGTTACAACCTTTCTCAGCAGAACAACTTTCTGAATCTGCTGATTTATTATCAAGTGATGCAGGTACTTCAACTGAAAAACCACACAAAATATTGAATACATATGTATGTTCAAGTGACATTTATCAAAGTTAAGTCATAACAAAAATTTCAAAATCAAATATTGCATTCATAAGGTATCCAGTGTAATTAATTTTATTTCACATTTAACATTTTTAAGGATAATGCAGTAAGACACTACTAAACAGAAAACTCAAAACAGTAAACACGAAATGAACTGCACATGCAGTACCTATATATGCACATAACAGTGAATTATCATTGTCATTTGTGGCCTGCTCTTGAAATTATTTGGAATATACAGATAGCTCCCTATCCGTCCCAATCCCTCCCTATCCAAAAATTATGTGTCACAAGAACATTAATGTGTCACACTAAAATCTTAACTAGGTAAATTGACAAGGAAAATAAAATGATTTCCGGTAATAAACACAAACACATTACACATAACAAAAGGTAAGTAACTCAATTGATTTCTGTTTCCTTTTCAGAAATAAATACTCAACAAATCATAAAATAAAAAGTGATTAAAAAATACTAAAATAAGTAAATAAAAACTGAAATTCAATAATCCATGAAAATGTACACCTAAATATTTAGTTTGTCTAACAGACATTACCATTTTACTTTTAAAAATAAGAAATGTGTACAATAATAAATGGAGCACCCATAATATGAAGATTGGAATGTAAGTCATGGCGATTTTTTAAAATACCAGCATAGGTGGAATGGTATGTGAATTTACAACTGAAATGGCAGATGCGTATGGACAATTAATTGCACCAGCAGTGTACATCTCATATTATTAATTATGGTAGTAAACATAACAGTACAAGTTTCATAATCCAGAATCATTACAGCACTCATATCCTTTGTAAAGGCCCTCAGAGTAGTCCCCAGCAAAATTCAAAACACCCAGCCAACAACGTGGGAGGAACAGTAAACACGAAATGAACTGCACATGCAGTACCTATATATGTACATAACAGTGAATTATCATTGTCATTTGTCAATATCATCTGCTTCACCATTTTCCTCATCATCTGAGAATCTGGTCATCTCTTGATGTATAGCATTTGGAAAGTCCATTTTGTATCATAAACAGTCTATATTTGTAATGGATCCTTTACCTTCTGTACATGTCAAATGGTTAAAGGTCTTCAGAGTATGGCGAGTGCTTTAATCTTTCCATCTCTAGAGTTGCAGGTGTCGACACACTGTGCTACATGTGGTCTTTGTTATGGAGAATGATTGCATTGCACAGAAGATCAGGATGTTTCTCTTTAACACTATTTCTCACTACCTATCTTGGTAGAAAGTTCCTGTAGTAATCTACAGTCAGTGTTCTGCCATGTGGAACAAAGTTGCACACAATATGCCCTTGATGTTACAAGTGCCAATTGCCACCAATTTCATGGGGGAAGGATTCTGATGAACCTTTCTGGTGACTGGCATGTCATCACACACTCTGCATTAATGTTTGAACGCCAGTTCATATGCCCTGGCTCAAAATTCATTGTGATTCATTCATGAAAGGAAGCAGTCTCCTTGTTGCCATAATGCTAGGCAGTCAGACTTTTACTTATCACATTCATTTTTCAACTTCTGTGAAAGCCTGTAGTACTCACATTGATGCAATTTTATGTACTTGCAATCTTTCTGCCAAATCCAATGGAAGGTGTGCCTCAATCCTTCTTTCTCTCTAACTCAAGTAGCATTTATCTTCTGTTTCCCTCCAACACAAACTTGATTACTGCACATGCCACATTGGTCTACACCAGTGATTCACAATGGGACTGTATAGATCCCCTGAGGGTCAATGAAATTTTAAAGGGTGTCAATAATAATTAAGTGGTCGATTGGGGGGTCAATAGCTGCATATAAACCAGTGCCTTGTCAATAAATCAAGATCCTATTAATTACAACAAAATTATTAATTAACTCTTAACTGTTTACTGATATAAAGCAACAAAACATATTGTAATAAATTACAAATTGGCTCCTCTTCATTTGTATCCATCTTTCATCTTCAAGAATTAAGGAATTAAAATATTTGGAAAACTTAAGATATATAACACTACATTGACAATTATGCTCTTATCAGGCAGAAATTACTCTCCACAACATGCATTGAAAAACTGTTACTGTCGATTCTTAACAAAAAACAAATGAAAAATCGAGATAATTACAACAAAATTATGGTATGAAATTGTTATCGTTAAGGCATTTTTGTGCAATTCTTTGTATCATGATTATGAATGCTGTATATTATAGAGAAAAAGTAAGGGAGTTGATTACGTGAACATTCCCTTAAAAGGGGCCCATTAAAGGAAAAGACTGGGTATCCCTGGTCACTTTCTCAGGCCACCTGGCTCATTGTTGACTAATATGTGTCCTCCAACCTTGAAATTCTCCTACTAACTTTTTGACTGTCCAATATGGAAGGTCATTATGCTGATAGCTTTTACCTATTCCCTGTGACATTCTCTGGCAGTTCTCCTACCGAAAAAGGTTATTTTGATATAAGCATACAGCTCAACATACGTAACATCTATCTTGCATGACGGTACATAGACAACTGATTTCACATTGCTATCAGTGTTATTACAGGCAAACATAGAACCATCCAGTGTTCTGAAGACACACACTGACAGCATGTGGTAACTATGACACATTGTTTCCTTAGAAAAAGCAATAGACATTTAGAAAACGTATGTGACATGACTTGTCCCAACTCTCAAAGAGATTCCTACAATCTTCTTTCATATTATGATTTTAGAAATAGAGGCAAGGTATTCATTTTCTTTTAAGCACTTTAAGAAAAAAATTAGTAAATGAAACACTGAGAAAAATCATAATACTCACTTTGATCCTCATCAACATCAACAGAAACAAGAAAGTCATCTTTGAAAAACATGTACCCAATAATCGAAAACATGTACACAAGTATAAGGGCCAGCACAGCTGTGAGTATAATTGAACGCCCATTGCGTGTCACAGATCTAATAACATTTAACAATGTTTCTTCCCGGTATACAACATCAAATAGCTGAAAGCAAAAAATTAAATGTAGGTAAAAATGTTCTTAAGAAAATACTGTAAACCCAAGAAACCTACACATCAAGAAGCACAAAATCAACAGCACTAAAATTATTTGCTTAAATTTCAATGTAAAATATTGAGAACCACTAGAATTAGGACACCGCTATTGATAATTTATTTTTCTTTAATTGTAACTGGAACATAAATTTTTAATTTAAAAATTTCCACATGTTTTTCTTGTACTGTAATTATAGTTCATTAATTGGCCAATACATTTAACAAGTTCTAATTACATTAATCCAAATAAAATGCATAATAGTTCAACATGTTGAAAACATTTTAATAAGTTCAATTTGGTTTCTTTTCAACAATAAAACAATTCATCTTTATTCTAACATTCAAGAGCTTATACCACTTTTTTTTTCCAAACAAAATGACTCAGCTGGTTTGATCACGATTTCCATGAAAGAAATGCACAAAATTTCAACATATTTCCTTTGCTTTGGATGCCATGTCTGTATGGGGAGAATACTAACAGGTGATGGTTCCTTTTCCTGGTCATTATTGAAATAAATATTTGAGAACTACCAAGCTTAAAAATCAAGTAAATTTGTGATTCATAAAACCTCATGTTCCTCTTTGAAGATAATAAAATCAATTAATTAATAAAGCAAAGAGCACTTTTCATTTTAGCAAACTTATTTCACAGACTCTATAAGTAATGATAAAAAAAAATCTAAATTAACTATTCAAATATTTTGACAACTGACAGAATAAACTGAGCACAATTCACAAACATTTACAATAAACCAAATCACAAAAAGGTATGATTTAATCAATTTACTTACCAGAACAGAATAAAAGAATGGATGCATACACAAGCCAAGAAGACAGAAAATTAAGTAGGCTGAATGGTAAAGCAATTCAGCATCAGTAATCATTTGTTCAAAGTTCTTAGTAAATGTTCCTTGATTTCCCATAATGCTAACCAAATGAATGCCTTTAAGAAAAACCTATACACAAAACAAAAGTATTATAAAACATGCTAATATTATCTTATTAATCATATTAATAAGTTCATAACAGCTACATAACTACATACTGCAAGGGTGGGCTGTTGTACAAGTGAAGAACATTGGATTTGTTACATTATTAGTTACATGCTAGTTGCTACTAGAAACTCAAGTGGCTTTTACTCACTGTTATAGTGCCTAAAACCATTAGAGTTGGCTCAGGTCCCACAGAAAATATCATTCTCAGAATTGATGAAGCAACCAAGGTACGAATACCCGACTCTCGTGGAACAGTTATGACAATTGCAGCAGATATTAACATTACAGCCCAAATTAACCCAGAAAGGTGATGACCCAATTCTGGAATGAAAAGATAGATGTATTAATGACAGTTTAATGACAAAAAGATAATCTTTACAAAACCCTAAACTTAAGACTGGAATAAAAATAGAATATGACAAATCTTCACATAGTCTTTTTTAGATGATTTAAAAAAGTATGTTAAACTAAAATGATGCTGTAGGTGTAAAGTCAAAAGTTGGTTCCAAACATTCTCCCTTTTGTAATCCAGTCCTTGTGTTCTGCTACCCTACTGTCATGATGAATTGTGGCTTTGTGATGCATTATACAAGATAAGATGTACATTCCTTTGGCATGGTATTCTTTATCTCTTCCTCTGGCATCGGATCTTGAAATTGTAATGAATGTGTGAACATAAAATCGTTTTAATGGTGACCAAGTTTAACACCTGAACACATGGATAAACATCCATTGAACTCTATGAATTCAATATGGAAAAAAATTGTTCATTTTCATAACATAGCATTTGTTTGTAATTCGGAAACCCCTTCAATTAGAGAAGGTGTGGCTTGTGTTTGATCTCTGACAGAACAACCATATTAAGTTTCATTCTCTTGAATATCAGCATTAATTGTTTCCTTTTGCCCCATGATCCAATAAACAGTAATATATTCGATATTCAAATTCATAATCCCTCACTAATACCATGATATTGTAAATGTCTAGCCAGATTTGTTCCTTCTTGTAAATTATAAGTATGTTTGTCTTTACATGGTTCATATAACTCTCTTCAACCTATCAACATCAGAAGGGATACCCAGCACTTCCTATCAGCTGAAAGCGAAACTGAAGAAAGGAATATAGAACTGAGAAGAGTGACACATGAAAAGAGCCCTTTTGCAAGCCTAATCACTTCAGGGTTAAAGCAAATAAAATTGCTAAGAGAAGCAGCAAAGAAAAAATAATTGTAACTAGAGTACTACCCACAAAGAAGGATAATAAAAAAGTAAAAATAAATGTGCACTAAAAATAAACAAAAGAAAAAGTATAAAAAACTTTAGATGAACTTAAAAAACAACAAATTTCATTAAATAAAATATAGAAAAACAAAGGAGAGTGAGCAGTGAAAATACCAAGTAGAGTGAAAATGTTTAAATTCAGAACTTGGGTAAATTTGGTTAAATAAATACAGTAGTGAAGGAAGGGAAGACATTATAAGGGCAAGGACAGTGGCTCAGATAGTTGTGTACTACAACATGGGGAGATCCTGTTTTCCTATGAACCCGGAGAATATACAAAATCATAACAAAATCATAGTCATCACGTGGAGAATGTAAGAAATGTGGACAAAATATATAAATATATATAGAAATATTACAGTCATGATGCGTGCTGGCTCCAGACTACAGAACTGACTTGAGGAATTTTTAAGACAGATTATGATTCAGCTAAGTGGGCAGGTAGTGGTAATAATTGTATAAAAAGGATTTCATGTGGTAAATACCTTTTAGATTTCATATATTTCGTGCTTACAGGATATGAAAAATTACTTAACATAAAAATTAATATAAACATATATTAAAAATACTCACTTGGTACAGATTCCATGAAAGGATAGAAGAAAGCTACAATAAGATTTATAAGTACAGCACAGTTGAAGAGAACATTGCTCCATAGTGACATATGACTGCTGACCCAAAATAGCATGGGCTGACCTGATTACAAAGGAAAAGTCATTAAAATAAGTTTTTAATATCAGTCATTGAGTTTTAATAGCTCCAAATCAACAATTTAAGTTAAGTACATACAACAAGTAAATATGCAACAACACAACATACACAAGTTAAGTAAATATGCAACTAACACATTCATATATGAACAAACATACCTCGTAATTTTTTCTGCCATTTCATTTCATTAAACATATCTTCACTTCTTTCAAAAAAGTCTGACACTTTTGATCCCTGATCATCTCTTTCAGCAGTATTTAAGACTCTAAACTTAGTGTCTGGAGTTAGGTATTCACAAATTTCAGGTATGGGAAACACTATTTGTTCTAGCGTTCTATCTTGTCGGACAATCTAGGAACAAATAATATTTACAGATATTCAATTTGCTACATATAAATGACAGTAAATTATGTAGAAATTGTTTTTAATGAATTTTCTTAGACACAGACTGTGTGATAATAATCTAATTAAAGATGCTTAGGAGCAAATTAGCAATTTTCAAAGCTTCTTTCGCAGGAAAGAACTTTACTTATTTTACAAGAAAGTTAGATATGCGGAAAGTAGTAAGAGTAAATTAATATAAAAACATCTTTGTAAGGAAAGGAAAATACAAAAACAACAAGAAACCAGAAATTAACTTTAAATTGCACAACACAACAGGTGGATGTACAGTTACAGTCCCAACATTTTGAAGCCACCATTCAGTTATAAAGGTAAGGAAAAAATGTGGGAAATAATCTGATTTTCACAGGAAAGAAAATGATCCTATATTCAAGGGATGCATGCACACACATTAGCAAACCCATGTATTCTCTGTATTAGTGCTTTTTGACAGTCTCCAAACCATTTCAAAACTTTAAACAACAATTAATTATTATGGTACCAAAACAATCATTGAACACACTTTGAAGAAAACTATAAGAAATATTTTCAACGTAACCTAAAATCGTATTGAATATCTTAGGTCAAATTATCATTGAGTCAAAAAAAGCAATCTCCATATGTAACTATAACACCTAACTAAAATTGTGAATATATTCTGGACATACTCCACAGATTTGTTGGGTAATTCTGATATATAAATTGTTATTCAGACCAATATATATGAAAAGGCTGATAAAGAGAGGTTATCAAACAAATAGCATTGTAGAAAGTGAAATGCAATCTGAAAATGAATCAAAATTGTTGCTGAAATTTTGTTTTACTATGTACTTATTGATGAGATGCCTACCTCACTTGGACGTTTGGCAAGTGCAAATCTGTGCAAGTGCAAAACATCAAAATGCAAAAATTCACCATGATAGAAATACACATCCTATAAGCAAGCACTGATATAGAATGATGTTTTAAAAATTCTTAGCAAAAAAGTTCCCAAATGTTGGAAACTCTGTCACTCTCTCCCTCACTACCCATGGAGCGGATGTGTATTTGCAGAGTATGCAGTTGGCATCTCAATCATGCAAACATTAAATAATGTGAATTTCAAGTTAATGGTTGTAAAAGAAGCAAAAACCATGAACTAATAGCATGAAAGAAAGAAAATCTAGTCAGATAGAACATTCTATTGATAAAGAAAGCAAGTTCAATGAACAAAACTTTAGGGGAGGGAGGGGAGTGATTGACAAAAGGACAACCTAGTATGGGAGGAAGACCACAAAGAAAGAAAGAACCTTATCAACAAGACAATTTTCTTGTCATAAAACAATTTGTGTTTTATTTTGATTAAATAGTAAGAATTGGTAAAAAATTTAAGAGATCTTAAAAGGCTGAATCCTAACTTAGGAGTTGTCATATATTCTGAGTTCCCTTATATTCGGGTAAGTACAGAATATTTGCAATGCTATATCTCTATAATAAAATTCAAACACTAGTAGTGCCATCATATACACTATAACACTAACTAAAAGATATTCGAGATACATTCATGTAAATCACTTACTTCAATTTGTGCAGTATGTGAGGCATAATACTGTAACGCTTGGTTCATTTTAGGATCACTGTAATTATCAGATGGTTTCAGCATTCCAGCAAGATCTTTATTATGCTGTGCCAATTGGTGACACAAAATGTAAATATTATGCCCCACCTAGAAGATAAGTTGATACATAATAAGAGATTACATCGAAATGGTTAATTACTAATGTCTATCATAACCAAAATAGATAACACTGTTTTTTTATTACACACTCACAATACATCAAAGAAAATTCATACCTCCTTAGGAGAAACTCCATCACTAGCTTCTGTAGAGGCATCTTCCCCATCATCATCATCATCGTCATCAACAGATTCTTGATGATATGCTTTGCAAGCTACTTCCACCTGAAATGCACATTATGACTAGTAGTAGTATTAGTAGTAATAATAACAACAACAACAACAACAACAATAATAATAATAATAATAATAATAATAATAATAATAATAATAATAATAATAAACAGACATCAAAATGTGGAATATGCAAGAAGGAATAATATTTTAATAGAAGTAGTTTTATGCTGCAAATCACGTTTTCTTAACTTAAGTTTCTCTCTTAACACACGCCATTTAAGTTTTTCAAGGGCTGGGTCAATGGGATATTACACAATCATTACCAATAATGTAAAAAAGTATGAGCTCTTGTAGCACCCTCTTCTCCATAATGCAGGGTACTCACATCATATACTAGATGTTAATACATTTGCAGGTTCCCTGTATCTAAGATGAGAATGAAAGGCCCTCAAAACACGGAAAACGCAAGGGACAAATATCCATGTCAACAAAGGGATTTCAACTCTTGACGCTTCTGAGTGATGTGGTGAATCAGTAAGTAACAATAACCAATTACACCTGTGCATTTTATAAAGACTACTTAATAATATACTTAAACATACTTAAATACTACTTAAAAATGTACTTAAAAAGTTGCTGTAACTCCTACAATGAAATATCTCTATTCTGCCTTCAGTATGCAGCCAACATTAGAAACTAGTGGTGCTAAAACAGCACATTCTTTCTCGCACTATTGAAAATTGTTATGAAATATTGAAATATTGCAATTTTGCCCTACTAGTACCTCAACTATAATTTGAGAAAGTCCAATTGAAGAAATTCAAGTCAAGCATGTCTGATGCATTACTACATTTATCTCAATTGTCATGAACAGTAGTCATTTCTGAATACCATGATCAGAGATCAAAACATCTTAAAATAAAGAAGTGAATTTCATAGCTCTAAGTTGAATTTATTACCGCCCTTCAATCAATTTCCTTTCATAAGAATATTATCTACATCATACAATCATCACGACCAACAATAATGGGATGAATTTGAAGAATTCTGAAACCACTGTGTTGCCATTTTGTGAAATGATAATGCATTAAATGAAGCATGTGAAATTTGAATTTACAATTCCAAATTTTTGCAATTTTTGAAAATACACAGTGTGCCGAAAATGGGATCATAACCACCATCTTTGCAGTTCTTTACTACATACAGGACAAAATTTTAAGAAAAAATTTGGAGCCTTTTCTGGTAAAATAATTGTTTAAAATTTAAAAATTGCCTATATTTCATGAAAAATTACAAGAGAACTACTCATATATTTGAAAATGCGTTCATGAACTTATTTTAAGATTCTTTAAGAGTCCTTAAAAAAAAAGATTTCATTAAAATCAAATAAAAACCAAAAACAACAGCAATATTGTAGTTGTAGGAAGCTGCCAAAAACTGAACTTTTGCATTTTCGAAAAATCAGAGATTTTAAAAAAAGTGAGATCTGCACCAAGTGTCCTTTACACTATGCATGATCAAAATTTAATAAAAAATTTGGTGCCATTTTTTTATTTTGAAAACATCCCAGGGGCTTCATGTAAAGTACCTTCCAAAATTAAAATATCGACTTCAAATTCAAGGGGTCAAAACATCAGCCAAATCAATTGGGGAATATCAATTTTGGTGAAAATCCTTCTTTTGGTTCAGCTGGTAGCGTTGTTTGGACGGACGGACATGTTTTGCCATCAATCAATTTTTCGGTATCAAGGATCCACAAAACAGATTCTAACAATGTAACGTGTTAGAGGTGTAATTTACTCTATACAGTGGGAAGATTTTTCCACCATTTTGTTACCAGTCTGGAAAAAATTTCAATTCTGGAGAAAATAATCTGAAAGGTTTTAGTCCTAACGTTAATCATGGATGGAAATTTTGCCACCAATCAAATTTTCGGTGTCAAGGATCCACAAAACATTCTGACTGCACATGTTAGAGTAAGTAATCCACTACTTATTGATACAAGATTTATCCACTTTTTGTTATCAGGCCTCATGTTTCAGGCTGGAGCCTGAATGAAGAACATGAATGTTTCAGACAAAAAATCACTAATTCCCGCAGCACTATTACAATATTTTTTTCTTTACTACTTATGAAGAAAGGTGAGAAAGTAAATAGAAAGAAAACACACCATTTAAAATGAACTCACCAACTGTTTTGAGTTCATATTTGACATAATTCTTTCTGCATTTTCACTATCACCTCTACTTTCCATTATTGCCAACAATAATTTAGAGGCATTATTCTTCAGTTCCAGAACGAGATCCATTCTTGTCTTTCCCAAAGGATTAATGTCGGTGAGAATAAGGGCAGTGATAATGTCCAGACCATTTGATTCATGAGTAGCAACACAATTCTGATTGTCATGACATGGGCCTTGACAGTACTCGGTCAATGTTTCTAAAGTTTGATTAATAAGAGCTACATTGTTTTCATTTATATACAAGCCTAAAAGACCCAATCCTCCAGTAGTGGAACCACATATACAATCCAGAAACATTAATGTCTCAGATACAAGATTATAATTTGTCTTATTTCGCTGAGTTCGCAACAGGTTCTGAAAACAAGAACAAAAAAGGAGTCAATTTCATCCCAAAGATGCGCATTTACTAATTTGATTTTATAATGACTGATGTAACTTTGAGAGATAACGCATATAATAAAACAAACCTGCAATTCCCTATTATGATTTTCACACAGAAGTTGTAAAAACCTCAAAATTGGTTGCATAACCAATACTTTTGCAGAAAGCTTGTTTTTCTCTTCACGATCTCGATGACGTTCTAATTTCTCTGCTAACATATCTTCTAAGGCAGAACCTTGACCAAGGACTGATGAACCTGCATCCTCACCTGATAAAAATTCATTGCATGAAAGATAGTGTTTACTAAAATGGTGTTACAAAATAATGCCAAATATTAGCAATTATTTCAACATTCAACACAAAAAAGTAAACATGGAACATGAAATAATTAGTGAAATCAGGATAGCATTAATGATGTGATTATTCAATTTCGACCCAGGGTCTGCAATAGAAATAGTCTAGGATTTACGTTCATATTCTTATTCTAATTCTTATCAAATGAATTACATGCATGGAATATATAAACAATAATACATGGATATAAAGATACGCCAAATAATCCAATTTGTTTAAATGACATCTTTAATATTTACGCTTCATGTAGGTATTGAAATTTTGTTGAAGACTTAATTATATCTATTCAAGTGAATGTTCAAATTTACATTACATCAAAATTACTTTACATACATACATACATACATACATACATACATACATACATACATACATACACACATTGTGAAGTGTATGGTGAAGTGAAGTGTAGTGCAAAATGATAAAATATGTTTCGATGTTTCGGAATAATGCAAATGATCTTATAGAATTTACTACTCTATTTATTTAATAATCGGATGTGCAGTCCTTTTGTACAAAATATATTGGCACATTGACTAGTAAATACAAATAATCAATAATAATATTTTACATACTCGATCCACTTACAGTACAATTCAAATGCTAGAAATAAATTCTTTGAACACTTTACTATTTGAGAGTTTATGATTGACTGAAATCAATTGTCAATTGATTGCATAAATTGCTCTTTCTTGACATTGGATTATTTACCAAAGAGATTGTAACGTATGCTCTCAACCATAGTTAACATCCTAGTATTGACAGGGGTAACTCTGAAGTTAACCTTTTTAAAAGTACAGGACAATCCATATTGCATGCAATAAGTTTAACGAAAAATTGCCAAAGATTCCCAGATTACTAAGTGATAGCATATTCATGTGTTTCCCAATGAAACTATATTCAAGATCAATAAATGGTTCAGGTAAACACATTTTCAATGCTACAATCCTAAAATACTTGTTGCATTTTCTCAATCCTTGTGCATTCAATATTTGTGGAGACCATACAATTGATGCAAACATCAGGATGTCTCACAAGTGACACGTAAAGAGTTTTAAAAACTTTCGTTGATCTGGTCTTTCAACATTATAATTATAATTTGATTAAATGTAGAAAGTAAAAAAATATGTTACAAATGTGTTGCAAGACTGATCGTCACACACAATTTCCAACCCAAATCGCATTGTAGCCAACAGCCCTTTGTAATTCTCTTTTGAATTTACATATTTCCAAAAGTGTTTTAGACTTGATAATACAAATTCTTGTGGGTTTACGTTATAATTTTCGAAGTTTTGCTTGGTATGTTTTTTACATTTATGACCAAAGGCAAACAAATTGATATATAGAATAAATGGATGTGCTGACGTTTCGTACATAATGTATTGGCATATTGACTAGTAAATAGGAACATTCAATTATAATGTATTACAAACTCTGCCGGATAGCCGAGAATTTATGTATTACAAACTCAATCGACTTACAGTACTATTCAAATTCTAAAAATAAATTCTTCAAACACTTTACTATTTGAGAGTATGGGTGACTGAATAAATCAATTGTCAATTGAATAAGTTTTAACTCAATAACCGAGTTATTTTTCTCGTAATATTAATGGGCAATTTTTTTACGATTCAGCTGAATACTGTTCTTGGTATTCAGCTGAATTGAAAACTACATTGAATACCATTCTTGGTATTCAGCTGAATTGAAAACTACATTGCATTGTAAAAAAATAATTGCTTCGTCTATGAATCTTCTTTACAACAAAAAGGTGTAGTAAAAGTGAATATATAGATAGTGGTAGAAAAGTGTAACACTTTCAGTCATACTTGAATCATATTCAGTAATCATAGTAAAGATGTCTGCTAAAAAATATGATAATCTAACATAATCACCAGAAGATAAGTCATAGTACCGGTTGCCTGGGTAATCATTTACATTAGAATTAAGGGTAAAAGTTCTAAATTTAATGGAGGATGATATAAATCTACTGGTTGAATCGATTCTAGTGCTTTTAAAACAAAGTCATCAATACTGGAGAAAACTAAATCTAGATAATCACCATATTCGTTCGATGTACAATTAATTTGTTAAAGATTTAAATAAGCCAGCGTATCAGATAATCTAGTGATGCAATCTGTCTCATGCAAAGTACTATTTAGTAAAAATGCAGGTGTGATTGAGTATTCTGTGTTTTCCCACAATGTTTTTGGAAAATTGTAATCTCCACAAATAAGCCAATGAGTCAGTGTAGCATGTATCCAAATCTTGCAAACTTTGGCAATGTGTATTTATTGTATTAACCCAGGATTGTGGGGAAAGAAAAATACACAGATAATCATGTAATAGTTGTTAATGTCATTAGCCTGATACACACCAAGTCTGTTATTTGTGATATCCGACGTGTCATTCAAAACTTTTCATAATACCATTTTCTTATAAGAAAAAAATAATATAAATAAGAAACGCCTTTGCTTTTAAAACATAGGAGTACAATGCCATCTTCAATTACTAATCTAGTACACGATTCTAGCTTCAGATGCGACAATGACAAGACGACCAAGATTTTATCATAAGAACATACTAGAAAATGGGAATCCCTTAGCCCCATTTGCCTTATTGTCCTATTTCTCCCCTTGTCGCATTTCATCCCTTTCCCGTTTATCTCATTTAGAGACAAGATGAACTGATGTCATTGATGGTTGCATAGGCTTCTGTGGCTGGAGTTGTCATAGAATTTATATAGAAACCATGAGCAATGGAGTAGTAGTTACACTGAATTGCACAAAAACAAAAATTGACTTTAATAAATAGTTCGAAGATAACTTGGCTCTTAAACAGCCAGCGGGCATTAAGACTACGTTTTCCTTCCTCAATGGGGTTGCTTTATGCAGATACATTAACGGACAGTATTAAGAAAATATCTTTACCGAATCAATGAATAAATAGGTGCTCAACATTTGTAGATGATTCCATTAAAATGCTGTGGAATTGTTTTTAACTGCAATAAAAACTCTGCCACTTCAGCTAAATTCACTGTTTTGATTATTCCTATCTCTTCAATAAGTAAGAAAATTTTCTAACTGGAATTCAGCAGTTGATTCAGGATTCTGTCAAAATAACTAAATCATAAACCAAAAATATAATAGTAAAAGATTCAACATTTAAAATTTTTGTACGTAATGCTCTTACATTTTGGTAAAACACCTTGAGGGCTGCACAATTCACGCATTTTTTTTATTTGTTTTTACAATTATCTTCTGCTGTCCACAAACATTTCTGATCATTATTGAAAGTCTATCTCTATTAATGTCAGAGAATTTATTACACAAATGTAACATGTTTTCCCTCAAACAATGGGATATCATTTTTAATCTTGTCAGAATGTTTACATTGTTTACCTCAATTCAAAATGCATTGAGCTTCTGTTACATCACGAAATACAGCTTTAATTGGACGTATTTTATAATTTGCCCTTTTTCCTAACCTAAAAACCGTCTTGACAGATAAAATATCAAAATTCGAGAAATCTCACATAGATTCAATAATCTCTCTCTCATCGTGTAGATTCTTTTGTGAAAACGTTTCCACATTCAAAAACATTGTACGTTATTACGTTCGATTTTCACTCATTTCTATAAATACATTTTCTATGAAATAAATTTTCAATAAAATATATTTTCAATAAATTTTCAAAAGCATTGCAAGAAGCAGATCATTACATTAGTTATAATTAGTAGCATTTGAATAATCTCCAATTATTATTTCTAATTCTGTGGTTATGAGAGCAGAAGAGAACAATTTAATCATTAAGTAGTTATTGTATTATTGATATATAGGTAGGTGTTTGTGACTTGTAATTAAAAGGTAAAACAGTAATCTTCATATTTTTCCCCTTTAACTCTGCAGTATTAATGTGCAGACTCTCAGGCCTCATAAATTGATATTTTTTCTTTCCTTTTAACATCTGTGCCCTTAGAAATCATGGAATTTAGGTATCTTCCTACGATTTCAATCATTCTTTGTTTTGTTCTGGTACATGCAGAGGTATCAGAATTATCATTGCAGACTCACTCCAACATGATCAATTGCTTTATATCGTTTACTAAGAATATTTAGAAAAGGAAGAGAATACTTATACAGGTACAGTGAATGAAATTGTTGACTTACAAATATGATGTACCTTTTTCGGACATTTAAAAAAACTGTTTTAAGAAATTCACAAATCTGGTACATTAACTTTGAAAAATCCCTTCATTTTCAGAAATTTGTCTTCCACTAATATTAAGTTTTCATTAATATATTTTTGATATTCTCGAGACCTTTCTATGTTAGTTTCTTTCATAACTACCACCTGTGTTATAAGTGATGAATATTCTTTGCTTTTATTTACTTTTAGCTAGATGCGAAATCTCAGTTTGCCACGACTACTTTCAATTCAGTCTATGATGTGACAAGTGTTAGGGTTAATCATAATTATACAATATGATAAAAATACAACAGTTTACTACTAAGCAAGTCAGTTATTGTAACCAAATGAAATTTTACTATTACCAAATTAACTATCTATTACAATTATTATAGTGATTTAAATTTAATAAGATCAATGAAAAATGAACTGAATACTTAGCAAATTTTATTTATGGTAGGTCCACGTGTATTCAAAAAATGATATTTAATACTCTGCTTATTTAGAAACATCTGATATTGAATAAATTAGTGTAGATGGTCACATTATTCATCATTGAAACAATTATTTTCTTTTGTTTAAGCAAAAACCTTGATGTGCAAGGTGTTTGAGCAGATTCTGGCAGACAAAATACACTACTTTGTATTTACTTTTTTATTTGTATTCAGCGTTATGAGTAATTTGTATTGTATAATATTTGTATTGTTATCATAAATTTCACGAGTCATACTTTTCTTAATTTTATTTCTGTATTTGTATATTGGACGAAAGTCCTTCAAATTACAAATAAATTAAAATGTTGTGGATTGAATACAAAATTATTATACTTATGGATTAATTGATTCATTGTTAGTAATTCCGAGCATGTTAACTACCAAGGTCATTAGTCTGATAAGTGTAGTGCATGTTTTTCATCAGGAGGTGGTAGTGGTCTTTCCCCACTGTATGATAAGACCCGGCACTGACCTGCCATCACCTAGCAGGGTTTTCCCAACTAGATATCTCCCACCTGCAGTGCAGCACCACCCCAGCTGGGATCGGTCTCATGCCATATGTGGTAGTGTAGTGCATATAACTGTAAATGTGTAATGGGTGAGGATAGGACAAGAAATGTGAAGGAAAGATCGTGCATGGTCTGATCCCCATTTGTTAGGATACTGCTCCGGCGTTCATCTAGTATTGATCAGAGAAACCATGGAAAACTACTGATCAGAGCAGCCAGATGCTAGAATTCACCTCTAGATAGCAACTGAATTCAACCTAGCTGACAAGCTAGTGTCAAAAATCTTGCCGTCATTGGGACTAGAACCCAGGACCTCTCGGTCAGAGGGACGGCAGCAACATCAGTCGATGCCCTGATTCATCTGTCCCAGTATATAATTATGGAATTAGAAATAATTATAACACATGGATGGGTGAAAACCAGAATCATATAAGTGACATTTTATAAATTCTGAGAAAACATTTATCACTATCACTGTCAATATCACTATCAATATCACTGTAAAGTCATGGTGTTTTGGGTCATCATTTCACAGCATTTTAATTGTTCACTAAAACCACAAAATTACACTGACACTAACATATAGCATAATATAAACATGTGTTTCTCAGAATTTATGAAATGTCACTAATACCATTATGGTTTTCACCCATTCATATGGCCAATGGCACACAAGCAATAATTATACTATAGATCTTTTCCAGTCCACAATTTGGAATAAGGAAGGTATCAGTCAATACGTCTCAGTTTGCTCACGTACTGGCCATTTTGTTCATATCTCTTTAAGCTAATCAAGGAACCTCAAGTTAATAATTATGTATTTACTTTTAAAACTGTTTAAAACATCAGAAATGACACACTAGGCTGCATAAAATACCTGTATTAATGAATTTTGTCTTCTTCCTTCCTTCATACATCTTTTCTCTACTCTCTACATTTTGCCTCCTTAAAATAATAGCAATTATTGCTATGAAAAGAACCGTGAATGTACTGTTAAGTCTTACCTTGTGATGCACTTCTTACAACAGCATAACTATGTGTTGTTGCTATAGCAGCTTGGTTCAATTCTTCTCGTAAGTCTTCAGTGATTATTATTCCATTTGGCTTAACTATATCATGAAAAACCAAATTAAATAAGTAGATTGCTATACAGACTGAGTAATTTCAGGTAAACTCACTTTAAGCACAATCTTCCAAACATTATCAAAGAGAAATTGTATGAAACTGCTGTGCAGTAACTATGCATTCTAGGCAAAATGACATAACAAACATCTGTTCATCTAATTAAGGAGAAGACAGTGGAATGTTTTTTTTCACGTGAAATGACTTGGTCACTGTGGGTCAGGATTTATAAACTAGGAAAATGTCATGCTAAGTTTAACGCTCCCTCTTGCCTGAGTAATTTAGCAAAAGGTGTTTGGGTTCACACAAGTTACATTCAGAGCAGCTTTGTTATTTTTTATTTACTTTTAATGACAAAAACTGGAAGTACTCCATGTTATGATTGGGAGGGAGAAACATTGCAATTAATGTGCAGATGAAAAGTACATCTGAATAATATACAATCATCTCCACATTTGCTCAATGGATCAAGGAAAAATGAATGAAAAAGCTGATTGAAAGGAGGGTCAAAATCCAGAACTTTACAAAAGTTGTTATAAGCATATTTGGACTTTTAAAATTATACAACCTAAAAATTAATTAATGCATTTGCATTACAATAAATATTGTTTTTGTAACTATTAGTTTTAAAATGTTATACAGTTAAACTGTAATACAGCAGAAAAATGTTAAGGCATTTGAACTTGCTTATCAATTTAATTAAATATTACAAAGCACCTACCTCCTTTTTTCTTCGCCAATTTTTCCAACTCTCTGCCTTGTTCTTTTTCTTCATGAGCCTTTGCAGCCATATCAGAAGTGTTAACTGATACAGTTGACCTTATTTCTGCTTGAGATTCTCTCATCATGTCAAAAAACACCTACAATTGGTGTTATTTCAAAAATCAAAACAAATATTAATTTAAATAATTATTTAATTCACATTTATTGCAATAATCAGGGACTTTACTCAGAGTATAAATGTGAGTATGTAAGAATACTTAAAATTAAAGATTTTTCACAGTCAAAGGTCATACCTTAAAAAAGGCTTGACTCAGTTCTCCTTCCACCAGTTTGTTGGACATGCTCTTTTGAATTACAGGATTTCCACCTTCCAAAAGGGCTATGCCCAATTCCACAGCTTCCACAAAAATCGACGGAGAGTTCACAGATTTTATAACCAACTCAACAACTAAATCTGATGCTCCTTCATTGTTCAGATGACTCTGAACTTCATGCAATGTTCTTCCAGCTCTACTTAACACTTTAGCTGAAAAATGTTTTCCATATCAATAAGTACCACGATTAAGTAGCTTTCTCAAGTTTAAGTAGTTACAATAATAGTTTCACAATGAATATACTTGAATCTAAATACACAATGTACTGTCATTTAGGTATTTTCCCCATGTTTGATCACTAGTAAAGAAACAAACATTTTAGAAGAGTGCCTCTACCATAGAGGGAAATTCATATAGAGTAGTGCACAGACCCACAAGTGGCTTAGTGAAGCATGTTGCAAAGGTACAAGTAAGGCTGGTATGATTTAAATAATGTGATTTAAATCAATATTTATTATTTGAAAATATATTTGTATTTTAAATATTTGTAAAATAAAAATGACTCAGATAAAAAGACTTAAATCAATTACAAAGTTGCTATAAAGAACATATTATATTTCTTGTAAACTTTTTCACATAATTGAACATTTTTGAGAAAATAAAATACAATATAACATACAATAAAATGAACAAACTTATGAAATGAAGAACAATAAACAATTTGTCATAGAGTTATATGATAACAGACCAAGATGATTGATAAGTTTTTATCCAGCATTTAATTGTTTTCAGATAAAAACCAATTTAGCAGTTATTACTGTCCTAACACACACGAACTAGTTTCGAGAAAAACATGTTTAAGGCTTCAATTAGGCTTCAACAGCGCCCATAATTCTAGATTTGTATTAAAATGTATGCAAAAGCAACTTAAAATACATCTTAAAGATGACGAGTATTAATAAAAATGGAATTTTATTAATAAAAATGGAATTTTATTAATACTCATTTACAAAACAAAATTATTACAGTCAAAACTAATGAAAACTGTAGTTAATCTTCTTAGTTTCATAAATTTTCCCTTTTGTGTATATTAATAAAATTCCATTATATGAGGCAAGTAAACTTCCTACTGACGAATAAAGAGTTAATGTGAAAGTGCACAAGTAACAACCATTCTACCTTTTTTTTTATAACAGGACAACTATTAAATAGAGTTGAATATTTCAAAAATTGTCTAACATTGTTATAAGTTTTTTGATAAATTTAGTTCTTGTCAATGACACAGTGCTTTCTGATTAGGGCGTTATTGCACAAAAAATGGTAAATTGAATGCCCTTTTTCTAAATCAGGCTAACAGATGGTGCCACAAGCTTATTCAGAATGTGGATGCAAAAGCAGTGTTTCAAGAGCACGAAACTATAAGTAACTCAAATTTAAAGATTTTGTGTGTTAAGACATAATTGCACCGGATTCCTCAAATATAGTCTTTGTTAAAAAAAATATAACAATACTGATGTTTCAATAAACTTTTTTCTGCTTTTAAAGTAATTACGGATAAATCACTGAACGATTTTGCTTCAAAGTAAAAACATCTAATACAATTTAAACAATTTTATCTAAATCAGAAAAATCATATTTTTTTATTTTTTTAAAAAGAAAACCATGATTTGTTCCCGCCCTAGGTACAAAGTAATATTTTATTTCATTTTACTGTAAATTAATCAGCAGGCATATATGCCCAATATATAAACTAAAGAAATATGATGCTTTTATACAAGCCATTACATGTGGACATGGATCATTTCAGAAAAAGCATGTAATTACAAAACAGTAGAGAGAGAAATACAATAATAAAAGGTTTAATAATCATTAACATCAAATAAATTATTTAATTCATCATCAGGTTCTATAACGTTTCAATTAGTTTATTACAGTTTTCTTGGTAGATTCTTAGTCTTCCAAGTGTTCCTACTGTTGCCCCTTCTTTAGTGGTCTCCCTCTATCTCTGATCCCTATTGGTTTGTACTTCCAGATTACTTTTGGAAATCTATTGTTCATTCTCTGTAAATGATCTTTCCATCTCCTTTGAGACTGTTCTCTCTTCCACTAAACATTTGGTTTTCAATTTCTTTCTAATGTCTTTATTTCTTTGTTTTAGAAATCTCATGTGTGCTGCCTGTAGTTTTTGTTTGTTCCTCTATTTCATTACCCGTGTTTCAGAGCCATAGACGATTCTTGGTTTAGCAGCTATATTGTGGACTTTCAGTTATGTTTCCAGATCCATGTTTCTGCCAAAGTGTCTCCTGATTGTTCCACATATTCTATTGCAGTTATTAAGTTTGTTTTCTGTCTTTCCGAGTTTGGTTGTATACACTTATGTTTAATTAATGAAACCCATAAATAGCTTGCTTAACCAGGTCTGAGCAAGTGATATTGTCACTTAGAAAATTAGGAAGCTTTTGAAGCACGAGAAATAGTCACTTGCTATTTCTAAGGCAAAATTAAGCCACAATTGAAAAAGTGAAGAAATCTGGTCACAAAAAGAGATAGCAAGAATTGCAGTGATTGTAAGGAACAATCAGAATAAACCTAATTGAGGTGTCATCAGAATCTTTCACAGTAAAATAAATGCAGGAAATGAAATAACAGCAGATGCATGGGAACACTACTTTCCATGACCACTTGCAAAAGCAGACACTGAAATGGGCATTTCTTGTCATTGACTGGATAAAGCCTGAACTAGATGAACCTTGTGCGTGAGCTGAAGTGAATAACGCTATTTTATTCATGGATAGCTGGAAAGCCGGTGGCATAGACATTGTAATATCATAGGGTGTAAGTTTTGGAATGGCTTCAATATCTTTTGCTTAGCCACACTAGTAATATAATTTAATAAACGGTCTACTAAATAATTTCAATGTTACTAATAAATTTGATGTTACACATAGTTACATTCAAGTAATTTTCATCTTCGTGGTTACTTTTGACTGAGTTTAAGTTCTAGTCAGCATTCTAATATCTAACACAGAAAAGAAGAATTAATTGAAACAAATGTTTGATAAAATAAACATACCTCCTGGTCCATGGGTCACGGGTGGTCTAGAACCACTCAACTCAACTGATTCTCTTTTAAGTACTCCAAAATATCGAATCAATAGACTCATACGTAAATGGTCACCCTGAAATAAATAAAAGATTATTAATTACACAAGAAATGCAAAAATAAAATTTCATATTTCAGTACATAAGGTTGTAAAGAAAGACCTGTCATATTTCAAGAGCCCAGAAATTTATTTTTCTCATCAATTTATTGATTTGAATGCGTTTCAGATGTAAAATTAATTTAACAGACAATTTTAAGTTGTAAAATTAATTTTAAAATGTATTATAGATATAATAAAAAAAAGTTTTGTAACTATAATGCTGATTAAAATACAATATTTAATTTAAAATGTAGACCTAAAGACCACAAATAACAGATTAAACAAAAAGCACAAGGTAATGATCAAAATCTTAACAACTAGCTGAATAAAAGCCAAATAAGATATTTCATATACAATATGGTCCATTTCTATAAAATCATATGATTTAATCCACAGTTCCAACAGAAAGTAGCAGGGTTTTGAGAGCAAGGTCTCATCTTTGTTAAGCATTTCCTGTAAAGAGCTTTGCACACAATGACTACATTATCTGTGATGAAACTTTGCACAGTATAGGAGGACATGTTCCATGCAAAGGCCTTTCTTACAAGTATTGCAGATAGAAGGTTCACTTAACAGGAGGAAAGTATGAAAAGAGGTAATGGTGGATACAAGGAGGTGTCAAATTGACTTCCTCACATCAAGTAACTCAGGGCAAGGAACACCAGAGACGAAGAACGCCAGTTCTTAATTGCATATATCTTAAATATGGCATTCAATACCTGCCATGAGCTGAGTAAGGAGTATTTTAGAAATACTTTCAAAAAGGACAAAAGGACTGTCAATTTTAGGCTTCAGAACTGCTAATTTTCAACCTGGTCAGCCAACTCACAATTAGTGATTCCCACCAGTGGCATAGGCTCAATGGACATTAGTGGTGCTGAAACAACTATAAAATTTTCCAGCTACTTTAAATTTTACAGTAAATTATCTCCTTGTGTTCCTGAAGAATCTTTTCTTTCTGTAGTACCTCTTGTTATTTCCATGCGCTTTCCTACATTCATTTGTCCCCTTACTGGATGTGATAGAGCAAAAAAAAATTCCTGCTACTGTCTTTGACTGCCTGGTTTCATTAACGATGCCACTGAAATATGCGATACAGCTCTGTGTGGACCGCCACTACAGATGTGATCTGGCAGACACATTCCCGACCTTTCCCACAGGCTGTAAGTCCATGCTTCAAAACTAATGCAGATTTATAATGCAGTTAAACACAGCAATGAAATCTCTTTCCTGCCCTCCTGTTATTCTCCAAAACTGATAATAACAAGTTGCAATAAGCATAACACTATTCTTTCAATAGTTATCAATAAATTATCAAAATAACTAAATGGTTATGGTAAACCAATGATTATAATTTACATGCAATATTCAAAAAGAAAAATATTTATAATTTACTGTTAACTGTAGAGAACAAACTTAGTTACACTATACATAATTATTTATAAGCTAATGTACAAATGTATTACATATCTTTAAGCTTCTTTTGCCTAATAATGAAGTAAAAAGTTTAGCACAACTTTGAAAACTTTACATCAAATTTTCCTGAATTGAAACCTGATAAAACTCTACAACGCATTTCATGCCTGAAAACTTACCTTTTCACCATACTCAGCATCAATCGCCATCATTTCTCGTAATGTTCGAAGTACTTTTACACATAGTTTTTCTTCTTTTTCTTCCAACAATTTCTCAGTGTGTTTTATCAATCTGTTAAAAAAAATTAGAATTAACTATTTATGGTAGGCATTGGTGCACCAGGGAGGTTCTATAAATATCCAGCTACCTCTTTCCTTTTCAATATATTTTAAGTTAAAATTAATAACACAATATTATGATAATTTAAGAGAAAAGAAAAATAAACTTCCAAAGCAATTACGAAACAAGGAAGAATTATTTTTTAATAATCAATCATTCATAATCAAAAGATTATATTGAAATAGTGTCACTTCTGAAAAGAACACAGAAAGAAGGTCACAGAAAACATTCTGAAAAATTAGTGTGTTATTAAAAGACCGATAAATATTAAGGTATGTCAAATGTTAAATAAGGGAGAAATGAAAACTCATGGCAAAGAAAACCTTTCATAATTTCCATATTAAAGCTCTAAATAATTCTTTAGAAAGAATCATTAGTTCAATCATCAATCTTGAATTGAATCAATCTTGACTTAAATGGATTAAAAATTGTACACATTTTGCAAGTAAACATTCATCTTTATTGATAAAAATGTATAATATTAAGTATATTAAATGCATTATGACACATAAAACGTTTGAAAAATGAATTATATGAATGTCATAATCTTCCTTTCATTCCTTTTAGTGTAATACGAGGGTCACACAAAATTACAAAATTTTTGAAATATAAGAAACTAAAAAACTTGAAATAATTTTGACAACTATATGCCATTACATCTATACATTTTTGCACTCTCATAAACCAATTTTCAAAACAGTTTTTCCACTCATTTTCCTTAAGTGCTAAAAGTTCATTTTTGTCGGCATCAACAGTTTCTTCAGAGCTGAGAACCTCCTTCCTCGCATGTGACTTTTGACTGTAGGGAACAGAAAATAATCACATGGGGCCAGGTCAGGACTGCAAGGTGGGCGAGTCGTTAGCGTAACTTCTGTTGATTCCAGGAACTGAATTGTGAGGTTGGCCATGTTCATGACACATTGTCATGGTGCACGACAACTTCCTGCAGTCCTGTCTTGGATTGCAGTTCTCGAAGCTTGATGAAAACTTTTGGTAGACATGTGGTTGTGTACAATAGAGCAGTAACAGTGCTCTGTTCTTCCAGTGGCATATCGCTTTTACAGAAAAACAGACCGCAGTAACAGTTGACACATGACTGCTTTTGGAGAAGAACCATTTTCTTTCCTACGTTTTGAGGCTGCTTAACTTTTGTTGGTGGATGTGTGTTGGGAAAAATCCATACGGTGGACTTACTTTCAAGATCGGACTGATAATGTTTTGTCACCAGTAACTACGTCAGAAACGCGCCTAGAGTTGCCTCTCTCAAATCTTTTCAATATTTCTTCACACCATTCCACACGGATGTGCTTCTGTGATTCTGTCAAAGTGGCATGCACCCACCGAGATGCAACTTTCCTGACTCAAAAATATTTGTGCAGAATTATGGAAACTGCCGATGATCCAATCTGTAGGGACCCTTCAATGTCCTTAAATGTCACATGACTGTTTTCACGCACCAATTTTTCCACAGCGACAATGTTTTCTTCAGTCACTGCAGTCATCAGAAGCCCACTCCTCTCCTCGCCTTTCAACAAAGTTCTGCCTCTCCTGAGTTCTTGAAACCACCGAAAAATTGCTGCATGGGAAAGTGCAAGGTCCCCGAAGGCCTGTTGCAAATGATCAACGCTTTCAGATTTGTTTAAATCACTTTGAAAGTCAAAAAGAAACATTGCACGAAAGTGCTCTCTTGTCAGGTCCATTATGACAACAGATTGCCATGTCAAAAAGAAGGGAGGGTCTCTTAGCAACAACGATAAACTCCAGAAGTTCCACCTTGTCCGCATTACTCAGAAAGGATTGATTCATATTCTTGGAAAGGTAATAATAGACTGCAACACAATATATCTCAAAACTTTCGTAGCTACCTCCATATGATAAAAACTATGTAGAGAAGTAAGTGAAATGATGGATGGTTTTGGAGCAAAATCAATGACACATTCAAATTCACAAAGCAAAAAAGAAAAACTGAAAATGAAAACAAAAACACAGAAGAAATATAACACGTACAACAGAAATTCACAAGAAAAAAAATTTCATCCCTAAAATATTCAATTACCTGAGAAGAAAGGGGGAAATAAATCACAAAAATATATGACTGATAACACGTATACCAACTTATAACTGAATATAACTTAGCAATTTTCAATAATTATCTTTGCTTTTCAAATAAATTAATATCTTTTGCTTAGTAGCAAAACAATTTCAAAAGTTTATCATGCATTGTTAGATTTTAAAACACAAGGAAATACTATTATTCACGATTCATTTTAATGTTTATAAAACGTGTACTAAAAAACACAACTACTAAATGCATGAATTAGTAAAAATTTAACACTACAGAAAATAAACACTTCTACCAGGAAAATGCGAAATCAAAATAAAATTGATTATCTCTTATTCTTTCTGGAACTTCTTAGTCTTCATAATCCTGATTCCTTCAAAGTAGACAGCATTGAAGTTAGGTTGGTTGAATTCTTGTCAGTGGTTCAGATTTTAAGGCTTGTGCACATCTGCACATGCAAATGCAGTAAATAAGATATAACATTTGCTGTTATACTACTTCTACATCAAATACAACAAAAAGTGTTGAAAATTTATTGACGAACAGTTTTGAATGATGTTCTATTATGAAAACAAAAAGAATGATGATAGGGACAAGCACTAAGAGATATTTCTTGTAAAATCGAATTTGAACTGGATCACAGTTATAACTTCAGCGGCAAACACTCAGTTGCAAAATTGAATATAATATAATTAGGGACATTTAGAAAGTTTTAACAATTTATGTAAATGTATGGTACATGCTTCACATAATAATAATTTTTCACAGTCTATACATGAAATTCTGAAAACCAACAAATTATATAATTATTCTCTTCATAAACAATTTTCAAAGTTTAGAGGCATTCATTAATGTCTAATTTCAACTGTCATAATCATCAATGTTCACTCAACATTCTTCACGAGTTTTGCACTGAAGTTAAAACTATCAATTTGACAGTGGTTCTCAAGATAACAACATTTAACCACCCTTAATTTACACCAAAAATGTACACTATAGTGTCAAGTATAGACACTATTTCGTTTGTTAAACTCAAATCTTATAAAATATTTTTAACAATAATTTAGAATGATGATGTACACTGAAATAAATAATTGAAGTTTACTTAAAAATGTGAGCAAATGATTTGTGAAAAGGATAATTAGAGTCGCATAATAAACCAATGAAAAGAAACCTAGTAAATACATCAGAAAATCATAATATTCTCATCAAAAATCAAAAAGAATTAATCTGATCTGATGATGTATTTATTACCTACTGAATGCCCATCCGAGTTTTCTCCTAGAGAAAGTAGAGCTCTTATGTAACAGATTTGTCACTCATTTCAGATGTATTGCTTTGCTAGTTCTAAGTATTTTGATATTAACTATTACAATTCATACACAATAATCAATAATTGTTTAATATCTTATCCATTATCAATTTCAATGCAACTAGTTCAAATTAGAAAATTATGAAAATATTAAAAAATAATTTTCTTTGGTTGGCAAATCTTTCTCCATATTATTTGTGTTAGCTATTTACGTAATTAACCTTGTTCAGTACCCCAGAAGGTTTGGCAACAAAAAAAAATTTAACAAGGAAGAAAAAGAATACAATACAGTACAATTATACAGTCAATATTCATACTCCACATTAACATATTTGTAATCAGGGTGAATTATTTCATTTGCATAAACTCTTCATAATCATTGTCTTCAGAATATGTTTTTATATAACAAATCTTAACCATTTTGCTGACCCACAGTTCATACAAGAGTCTAAAGTTTGTTTAGATATGTCAATTTAGGAAAGCAAGCAATGTCTGTAAACTCTACAATGATATCTTCTACAGTATTCTACACTTCACAAGGAAGAAAAAGGTCAAGTTTAACATTCTATGAAAGAAGAAAAATGGAAGCCCCATGTTTGCACCGTTCAGTACCCCTCTCTGTCGACTCTGGGCAAATAACTGACACTACGCAAGTGAGAGACCTACTTCAGGCACACAATATTCTGCAATTAAAAATACACACAGATATATTCTTAGAACCAACTGAACATCTGTGAGAACAATGATGATTTTATTTGTCATTTAGTTGCAAACACTTACTTGAGTTTATACAAATAAAATAAATCATCTTGAATATTTATATTAACTGCAATACCAATGAACTGCAGGAATATGTATTATTATCATCTGGTCCAAAAACTATTCTCAGCAAGCAAATTGACTAACTATTTCAATAAGAATGGAATTCATGGTCAGGTCAAAGGAAACAACAGAATAAACTTTTTAAAAACTGTCTTGAGCAAACTCCCTATGGGAAAAAAACAACAGTGATTTCTCTCAATATCTTTCTTCTCCACGCCACCTAAAGTTTTAACACTTGAAATAGATGTGAATGGCTTTGTAAATGATATATAATTAAAACAAAAATTGTTTAGTTAATTTTTGGCAGGAAATTTGATGATTAAATGTGAAAAAATTACAAAATACTTTTGTTGCAAGAACTTGCAGAAGTGCTAAAAGAGAAAAAAATAAATGTAATATTTTTTATTTCTATGTAAATAATTTACATAGAAACTATACACATGCAGCAAGGAACAGTTTCAGAGTCGATTAAAAATTAAAAACTAATAATTCATGTTTAATGCTACAATAGTATAGTATTGGGATAAAATAGCAAGATAACCATTGCACGTACTAGGCTGCAAAATGTCTCCTCTGATTTATTATCAAGTCAAAATGTCATTGAAAAATCATAAATTTAGTATAGTTTTACTATTAGGGTTGAAATAACCAAATCTAAGCATGCAAGCAACGTAGTTGCATATTTTTCAACACGAGATTCCCCTTCAATGATGATTGTGACGATAAAGTGCAGTGTACTTCAGTGGTTGAAACAGCTGTCTATTGTGTAGTATGTAATGCGTCTTCATTGTCCCGGACCCCTCTTCTGGTCAGTGGTGCACGAGTGCACGATCTGGTTACTACATCCCTAGACGAGATAAAGTGTTTTTGATGTTGAATTATCTTTATTGGGGGTTAAAAAATGCTTGCTTAAAATATCATCAATTTTTGCCAGTATGTAACGAACTGGCAGGTAATCGGTTAAGTAATATTTTTTAGAGAAGATTTGAAGCGATTGTTATCTGAGCAACCCATATCTATAGCCCACAATCTTGCATTTAAAACACAAAAAGATTTGGGATATCTTTACAATTTTTAATTGATACAAAATCGTACAAATATCAATGAACATACTTTTTGTATGATGCAGTCACATAAACTAGAGAAGGAGCATTTCAATTTCATATTCGTGGTAATATTAATTGCAGATATACCAATTGTGAAGAGCATTGATTTGGCTCTGAATGCTATGACATCTAAAAGCTATCTTATAAGTAGATTTCATTCATATTCATAATATTTATTTAACTAAACTGTTTTGTACGTTTTTTAAAACTTCACCTAATTTTAATGTAACTTTTGTTCCTACACTACTATTATTTTGTTTTAAAATCTTGACGAAATACAGAATATAAACATTTTTTTATGGAAATGTTAACATAAAACTAATTTAGACTTATCTTTAAATACATACTCATGGTCTGCAGCAGTGAAAATGCTGTTCAATAACACCATACTATATGGTTTTCCAAAAGTAGCCTGCAGGCTTCTCGAATACTGAAATAACTTAGACTAGCATACACAGTACAACAGTTTTTTAAATTCAAAGAATATAAAAAAAAGATGCTGTTCCATAATACAACACATGAACAGCAAATATTAGATAGTGGCAGAAAAGGTAAAAGCCTCGTTGTCACATGACATTAGCTGTATCATCAGCACTGAGTATGAGACTTCACACAGTACATGCAGTAAGACATAGGTGGAATAACATAATCACTTATTTGCATTTTTCAAATGTTGAAATTGAAATTGTTGCACTGTTTTGGGATTTTTCAAGAGTTCCTGGGTATCTAACAACACCATAGATACCTCTTATGTGGTTGGAGGCTTCATATTTATCTTTCGAAATCTGTGTTCATTGGAAATTAGTAATATAGATTGTTTGCAAAAATTATTAAACAACTGTTCAAAGAATATAATTAAATTGTAAATTCTGTGTACTGCAATATTGTATTTCTACAAAAATTTGGTTCTTTCCTTTTCTAAAAATGCAAAGAGTAAATACCATTATAGTGTCAAAAGACACTTTTGAACAATCTGAAAATTTCTGACATAAAATATTATTCCTTCATTATTGGTACCAGCAACAAGCTGTTTTACATGTATATTACAGTGGTGATAGTATAATTTTAGTGACACAGCACGTTAACTCAGTTACATACGTCATTGGATTTAACAAATTATAGATATTCACATTTTCAGTATTATTTGTTTTATAATATTTTCATGTTGAAGTGGTTTAAAAATTCATATTCCCTATAATAACTGGTAACTAATAATAATAATAATAATAATAATAATAATAATAATAATAATAATAATAATAATAATAACAACAACAATAATATATTTTTCATCATCATTATTATTACTATTATTATTATTATTATTATTATTATTATTATTATTATTATTATTATTATTATTATTATTATTAAATATTTACAAAGCCTTTCTTTACTGTTTCATATGATCAAACTTTTAAGGTGAGTAAAAAGGAACTTTTTCCGGAATTAGAGAAATTGCGAATTAAGCTGTAACAATTACATTTACATGAAACACAAGCCTCCAAAGCAAATTAAACTAGGGATTCTATACCAACTTAAATGAGAGTAATTACAATTTTATAATAAATAACAATGAATGCTCCAAAAGAATTATCATAATTGTAATGTATATTTTTAATATAATAATTAATATATAAAAATAAACCATTTACAATAACATTAAAGTCAGAGAAGAGAATTGAGCTTTTAAAATCTACCTACCAATGTTACACCATATCTCAATAAGAATTTCAAATAAAGAACAACAAAGTAATTTTCATTTCAAAGAATATTCCCCCTACCTTATTTTTCCACACTATCTTTTAATTTTTGAATGATACACTAGAAATTAACATAGACATAACTGTTCAGCAATCAGCATTTTATAATTGTAAAAGAACCCACAATTTATTTAATGAGAGTCAGCCCTTTCAAGTGAATTGAAGAGTTAAAATATACTTCAAGTAGTTCCGTTAGTTCAGTCATGGACATGGTATTTTTGATAGGTGATTTCTTGACTCCTTGTAAAAATGTAATCATACAATGCTAATACAGTTTGTTACTCATAATTTATACAATGTTAAATAGTGATGCATAAAATAATATTCAAAAGCATCAATGAGAATAAAGAAGACAAAAAAGAACAGATCAGCACACAATGAAAATTTATACAAAATACTTTAACTGTCTTTGAAATGTAACGTAAACATATAACACACATATAATACGAAAATGGTAAATTCTCCAAATTTACAATTTTTATACAGACACTAACCTTTTAATGAATCCACCACTTTCGCATCTTTTTCTTGCTTCAGTGTCAGCAGGGAAAAGCAATTCAGGTCTATACAATATGTCCACCAATAAAGAGAGTTCTGACTGAACTAGAGGTTTCAGTTGGTCTTCTAATAATGACACAATATCCTGCAACCCTTCAATGATGCTGCGATCAAGTCTCATTAGCTAAAAAGAAAAATTTTACATGACTTACATAATGCTCAATATAAGTTGTTTTTTTTTTTGTTTTTTTGTTTTGTTTTTTGTGATAACACACATCTCCTGCTATGTCCTAGGTTGCTACCTCATATAATTAGTTGTGCTTCATAATTTGTACTATATTCCTGTAATACATATATACCAAAGTAAACTAATCCCAAAACTATGGACAAAATCTAGCAGCAAGGAAAAACATGTACATTACCTAAATAGAAGCTTAAAGCTCATAAAATAAAAATGGAAACTTACTTGTGATTGTGAACGTTCAATCTTTGGTGCTTTCGCAGCTTGTAGCCATTTGCTAGTCTGTCTCGACAGCATTGCAGCTTTACTAAACATGGACAACACTTGACTTTCAAGATCTGATGGAATGGCAATTCCTCGACCTTTGGCTACAATACAAGATAAACAACCATTAGCTTTAAAATCATGTTAGCAATAAACATAGTTCATATTTTCATTTACACACATCTCTTAAATACTTCTTTATGAGATATATAGTAAAAATAGAAAAAGTAGAAAACTGAAAGAAAAAACAAGCACAAAATTAAACAGTCATTGCAACTGTTCTTTCATTTTCATTAAGGACTCTGATTTTTTTTAAAATTTAGTATGCCTTTTAGAATTTATTTTCGAGGGAATAAGAAAAAAAATAATGAAAGTTGTTATAAAATAAAAACAACCACAAAATGATGTTTAAACAACTTTTATTGAAAAGTATGACCACTTGGAAGGGTTCTCTGTTTGGCTGTGGATCTTGCATATTTGTTCATTCTCATTTGTTCATTTATCCTTGCACACAAAATACTTGATTACTAATTATCTAATAGACAGAATTATTACGTATTGTTCTGGGAGTGTCCTAGACTAGGGGTTATCACTTCTTTCTTTTTGCAATTTAAATAATTGAATTACAATGTACCTCACTCTTTTTTACACACACCAGCTCCTTCTTAAAAGATCGTTTTCTAAGGACATCAACCAAGCTCAATTTCTTTAACTCACATCCCACATTTCTGCTCCATAAGTATATGCTCACTACTATTATTTTATAAATACTGCATTTAATCTTTTTTGTAATTTAATACAAAGAAGAGTTAATTGCCCTATCACTCTTTTTCCTTGTCCAATTTTCTTAAAGATATCAGCACATCTATCATTTCAGGAAAGAGTTACTCCAATGTATATGACTGACTTGCATTGCTTGATCTTGTCAGTATTGTCAGGGTCCCCATATCCTTTATCACCACCTACCATATATTCCATCTTTTGTATGTTAATAATAAGACCTCAGTTTTTATATTCTTCTTGAAGCTTACAGAACATATTGCATGCATCATCTTCATTACCACGTACGGCAACCTGATCATCGACAAATTATAATAAGTATAGTATATTGTCGTTTACACGTAGTCTCATCCCATTACACTCCCTTTTCCACATTTTGAGGGCTTCCTTAAGATATGTTTTAAATAGTGAGGGGGCTAGTGAACACCCTTGTCTTAGGCCTTAGTTTCCATGGAATTTGCGAGAGCGTCTTTTCCCGATTCTGACTGAGCAGTAACTTCCAGTATACAATGTTTTAACAGCATCAATGTAGGCTTTAGCAATACCATTTCTCTTCATGGCTGGCCATAACTTCTTTTATGGCACAGTATAGTATGGCTTCTGTAAGTCCACAAATACCATTTGGATAGCTCTACCTCTTTCAGCATGTTGGTGCATTCATTTTTTTAATATAAAGATACTGATAACACACAATCTCCCTGCCCTGAAACCATTCTCTTCATCAGATTCTGTGAATTAAGTCTTCGATTCTCTGTTTTATTATTCTACCATACACTCTTGCTACCGAGTACATTATGCTTGTGCCCTAGGGTCCCAGATGTTCTGATTTTACCTAGACAGTTCCAGATACCAAAGGTTTTCTTCCTTCGGTCCCGATGTCTCAACAAATAAATTTCAAGACAGAAAATGTCCTGATTTCCGGTGCGATTTAATGGTTGTGTTTGCTAGCTACATGAAGTGCAATATTCTAGGTTGTGATCACTTAGTTGTAGACGTGCTCAACACTTTCAGTTTCATACATAGCAGATTCATACATGAGATCACTGGAAACCGAACTTTAAATTGTGAAAACCTCTGAGGGATAGAGTGCATTTGTGTAAAAGTGTTTCTCGCAAATACACAATAAAAGGAGTGTAGTGAGATAAAATTAATCTGAGGACCCAAAATGGCACATTAACTATGCAGATTCCATGGTAGGGGAACCATTCAGAACTTTCAGGATTATGGTTTCTTCATCACTCTTCTTCACAATATAAATCTTCATACTAAGGAAGTTATATAGAAATAATTTTTTAATTTGGATAATTTGTAGTGTTCTGAGATTGCGTAAGATTTGTTCAGGTTAAAACCGTCCTGTTAAGGTAATTTTTTAAATCTGGATTGGTTATCTCGTTCCAAAAAGGAAGGAATAAATGTGCCGATCCTTCTAAGTTTAATGGAGACGTCACATTATTTCAAGTCACAAATTATTACAGATGACACCAAATTATACGCTAACCCTCTGGTGAATCATCTCCACCTTCAAGAGGAATAGAGTGGTTGAGAGTGTGAATGTTACTCCTGAATGAAACAAAATGTATGGTCATGCAAATTGGAAGATCCAATCCAAAGCAAAATTACCAAATAGATGGAAGGAACTTGTTTGAAATCAAGGTGATGAACGATCTAGGGATAATGATCTCTAACGACCTCAAATGGGTAAACCACATGAGTAACACTGCAAAAAAGGCTAACAAGGCAATATTTACACTGCGTAAAGCCTTTAACACAATAAGAAGCTATGTTTTCATCTCTCTATACAGAACCTACATTCTTCTGAGAGTTGAATTTGGCACCGCGATTTGGAATCCTTACTTTCTGAAAGATACAAATCTGCTAGAAAATGTACAAAGGAGAGCCACACGTATCCCTACACATCTCTAGAACATGGTTTATGATCAACAACTAATGAGACTCAAGTTTCCAACTCTTGCTGCTAGATGACAACACAGCAACATGTTTGAAACATTCAAGATCTTGCAAGGGCATTACTACTCTGATCATAGTAGCATTTTTCACAATTCTGAAAATCTACAATATGAGGTCATAGTATGAAGGTCCCATTCTTTTCGATTGTAGTTAGTAATTAGTTGTTCCATGAGTTTGCATAGGATTGATGCGAGATTTATCGGTCTACAGTTGCTAAGTAATGTTTTATCACCGCTTTTAAAAATTGGTACTATGAGTGCTAACTTCCAATCTTCCAGCACTCAAGCATTAATGATAGAAACATTGAATAACCTAATTAGGTATGGTAGAATAGACTCTTCACCTAATTTAATGATGTCTGTGGAAATAGAATCTGGGCCTTTAGATTTTCCGTAATCCATTAATTTTATCCTTTGCCTACTTACATCAACATGAAATAGATTTCTACATGATAATGTTGGTATCTATGTACAGTTAGTTCTCTGTTTAGATACCAAAGTGAAACATACATTAAAAGCATTTGCTTTAATTCTGTCATCAGTTATTGGCAAATTATTACTACAAACAACTGATATTTCATCTTTGTCTCTCTTCGTTATACGAACATACTTAAAAAATTTTGACCAGGCCAAATTTTGGCATTCCTCTGCTATTTTCTTCTCTAATGCTTTTGAATAACTTCAAAATAATGCCATATGGTTGTCACTAAAGTGCCTGTTACTAAACGCCTGTCTGGTTTTTCGTTTCTCACGTCTAATCTTTGTATTATAATATTCTGGGTCAGGGTTTCTTTTTAACAATTTGCATGGTACAAATGTCTGCACAGCATTTTCAAGACTTTTAAAATCCTCTCCATATTTTGGGGACCCCCCCTCCTATTCTAAGAAATCCTTCATACTGCTCCATTAACTAATTTTGAAGCCCTTCTATATTAGTTTTCTTGTATTCCTTCACTCTGAGAATACAGTATAAATACTTTTCCTTAGGAAAGATGATATTACTACTCAGAGATAATAGTATAAGGTGATTAATGTACATTATAGAGAAATTGTTACATCAGATGTTCCTTAAGATTCACACCCGGGACCACACTTGGATAAGAAACTGCAAATCCATACATACCTTTCCAACTAGTTCTTCAGAATTTCTGCCTTCTTTTGAGTGTTTTGTAAACTTTTTTTTCCACATTTGAATAAATCTTGAAGAGCTTTCACTTACAACTGTATTTCACTTGCTTCTGTGCGCTTTACTTTTATGCTTCTTTCCAGTCATTATTTAACTGCATTAAATTTCACAAAACATCTAGCTCCCTTAGGTCAGATACTGAACAATCTGTCCTGTCCTGTTGAACACATAGACCAGCCTTTGCATCCAGTACCAATTTTTTCAACAAGCCAAATATTACACAACACAACTTCCATCTCCTCACTGTCAACTATAAAGTCGCTCTGACCAAATCGTGAAATCACAAGGACACACAACTTAAAATCTAACTAAGATACTACACTCCATTAAAGGGATGTCTCATCATAGACACACTGCTAAATGCATTACATTCACAGTAATTCTGTTTCATAAAGGTTTTTTTCCATAGTAGGAAATGAAAAACAATTCTGTCATTGTGTTGGACATCTTCAGTTTTATGCTGCATACAATGCAATGTAACTTCATGGGCCACAGAAAATTTCCTATTAAGGCATTCTGGGTTGTTGAGGGTCAGGCTTGGACAGATTTCACTGTATTTAACTATAAGGACAAGTGAATGTCCAAATAACATTATTATACGAGGAAAGGCAAGTGACAATACATTTCCAAAATTACAACAGTTACAGACAGATATTGTGATATGCAAGATTACAAAATAACACATAAAATACACACACACACAGGTAAATCTATAGGAACTTAGCAGGTTTCTCCTGATTTGAGTAGTTATATTTATAGATGATTTTTGTGTTATCGCTGTAGCTGTTCCATGCTGACCCGTGTTGATTCCCATAAATATATAGGATGAATAGAATTGACCCAAGGGTGAATGGGATTGACCATTGTGGGATGCCTGTTCGAGGTGTGGAGCTGTTACCAATTCTGACCATGAAATCGCACTCATGAAGATAGTTCCTTATCCATGAGGGTAGCTTTCCTCCAAGTCCAATGGAGTAAAGTTTAAAGACCTACCTTTTACGAGGTACTTTGTTTAAGGGTTTGGTGTGATCAAAATACATCACATTCATTGGTTCAGCCAGAGTCAAGCATCAGTGTGTCTACACACATCTTTGGATCAGGTCCCCATTTAGCCTTTCAGCACTTTGGCGATCTGTGTTTCCCACTCAGTAGTCTCTTGCGCAATAGGTTCCTAGGACAGCACCACCACCAGGTGTTTTAGTCCACTTATCTAATGAGAATATGAGGTTACTTGTGGTGGCGTAACATAGTACAATGCCACATTGTCGAATAGAAATGAGTGTCACATATGGAATATTCTTGGATCTTCATTACTATAATCATCTCCATTACCTTTCCCACTGCACTTGTCAGGCTGATAGGCATATAATTTCTTTGGGAGAGGGTTTTCTTTCTTAAATACTGCACTTAGAATCGCACATTTCTTCAGTTTTGGAATGCATCCAGTGTCCATTGATTTTCTGAAGATTGTTCAGTGTTGGAGCAAGTTGTAGAACACACTGCTACAGAAAAATTGTTGGGAAGTAGCCTAGGCAAGTAGCAGAACTCTAAGCCAGTCCAATGAGCTGTTGGCTGTTGATCTGTTTCAATGTAAGGGAATTCAATGTTGTTCAGATTGTGATGTCTCTGTGTATCACATTTCATACATCATCCAGTCATTCTGCAGAGAAAAGTCCTGAACACACATGCAAATATCTCACAATTCACTGTCAGTGATACTTTAGCCAACTTATCTTCAAACGTTGTGGAATTTTGACAAATTTTGTGGTTGCATACCCAAAGAAATAAATTTTTAATAATTTTAGCATTTAACAAAATTATATGAGGAGAGTGAATTTCAGAACAAAAGTAAGGATTACTGAAGATTTTGTCCTCAAATTAAAATAACTCTGGATTCTGTACAAATGGCCAAATCACAATAGGAAGGTTAAAACTGCTAACTAAAACAGCTTCTCTTTCATATTCAATTACTTACCAACATCAGAAAGAGTTCTAATACAATTTTCAACATTGAAACGTTGAGATGCATTCAACCAAGTACATTGGGAGATTCTAAATGCAGAATGCAATAGTTGTACAAATATTGGTTGCCTGGTCTGGAAAAACAGAAGATACATGCTATATAAAAATAAAAATACTAGACTAGTTTATTAGTTTGAAAGAAAAAAAAGTATAAAAGAACTCACTAATCCCAGTAAATAATATTTTAACAATTAATGCTTCTTTATACAAACCTGAACAGTAGTACTCTGGTCTGAAAATGGAGTATTGAAGAAAGTAGTAATGATATTCATGACACTATTTATAATGTAATTTTCCAATGCTGTGTTAGCTTCTTTACGATCCAAAGTGTCAGTGGCCACAGAACTCATATCAACAAGAAAGCTCTTTTCGAAAAGACTCCACATGTGATTTGAAGTGTAGATTTCTTTCATTTCTACTTCTGTATCAATATAGCAATGATTTAGGAAGTTGATGTACGCTTCTTTCACCTGAAAAATTATTAGAGTTAAAAAAAAAAAATTATATAAGTTAATCTTTGTCAGCAAAATTGAGGTAATATGTACAGCTGCCACTTTTAAAAATATAAGAACTTTTAGCTTTTTGAACAGTCTGTGGATATAAATGTCTTCAATGTATGACATACCTTTCAACCAATTTGTGAAATTCATATGAGGTATATCCAATTACAGAATTCGATCTACTGCAATAATATTATTTATTGTAGGTGTTAATTTTACATTTATTAAATTTATAAATTAATGGCAAATAGAACACAAGCACCATGTTATTTTACATAAATACATTAATTAAATATTCCTGCTTTAAAAATTATATTTTATACAATATTTTAGGAACAATATGCATAAATACAACAAACAGCCATTTTATATTTTATGATGCAACAAAACACATGTAAGTTTATACTACTACAGCTCCCCAAAACACAAAACCATTAATGCTAAAATACCCAAGTATTCTACTTTGTTGAGAGAATTAATTTCTCATATACTATTAAAATATAAGCAAACAGTTTCAAAGTTCCTTTGGCCTGAGTGAAACATTATTCATGTATTAATATTTCCTTTGTTCTCGATAATTCAGAATCAACAGTGAAAGTACACTTTGGGGAATTGTACAAGTATAGTAGATAGCATTTCGCTCACTGTGAGCTCACGCAAGGTGAACCTGGACTCAAAACCCAATGCCATGAGACAACAGTCTAATTTCTGTCTGGTAAGGGTATAAATTATTCCAGGTAAATGCCCTACTAACATTACTGATAACTCATGAAATTTGAGACTATGGTACACACTGTGGCATTAAAGAACACTCCTCAATCATTCACATGTTAACCACACAGTTTATTTTCATTTTCAATTTTTTGTTATTAATCTTAATTAATTATTATTCTTTCCTAATGCCTAAGTTAAAGAAGAATCTGATATGACTTTGTACAGTCAATTTTATTATTTAGAGAAAGAAGATTAATAATGCAAAATCAAACCTGCAATATCAAAAGGTAATAATTTTTAATAACATTTTTCTCTGTCATACACAGTGCCAACAAAGATAACTAAAGCAACAGATTACACATTTCTTATTAAATTAATATTAACGATTTTAACCATAACGTATCAAATTTAATGTTCATGGTTCTTCAAAAATACAACTTACAATAAATACTTCAAAATCTTCATAAAACCTTTCCTGTTCCTGAATCTAAAAAAAAACTACCCTAAAAACACGAGTTGCCAATTTTTCTTTTCGCTGTACAAACCTTACTTTAAGCATTTCTGAAATACGTATACTATCCACAATTATTTCTCATTCTATCCACAACAAACACCCATACACAATCAGAAATGTCTTATTTACTCTGCAGAAGTTCCCTTACAGGTCACTTTGAAACAGATAACTCAGCAATAACCTGCATTACATGAATTTAATAAAATATTTCTAAATAATAACATTTATTGAGCCCAATCTTTCTTCTAAGGTTTCCATAAAAATTTGTTTGTTTTCAACCATCTATGATGCACTTATTCTTACCTCAGGAATACAATCTGGATGTGAAACCACAGCAACAATATCATCAAGTGGCAGTAAACTGTGACATTTTATCTCAGTATACACGTTCTTCCCCATAGTACAGCATGCCAATAATTTAACCAATTCTATGTGATATCTGCAAAAGATACACTTACATATTACATATTCAGTACATACAGTTCAAATTTTCAAAGAAAAACAGAGTAATAAAGAATGATTTGTTTTTATTCCACATTAAACTATGAAAAATAAGCTTAATGGCTGAGAATATATTAGTAATAGAAGCTAAAGCAAAGAACACATTATGAGCCACCTAGAAATTAATTTTATTGTTTTATATTTACTCCATAAATATATGCATACCCAAGCGAAAAATTTTCTTATTACCTGATGGATCCACTGATAGACATGCAGACAAATATACGCATTACTAATATATCAAAAAATAATAATGACTTCTAACAAACTTATTATTCTAAGACTTGAAATAAATCTCATACAAAAGGCAAATATGGTTACAAATTTTCTAGATTGGGCAGCACATTTTCCAATTTTGAATATTTTACAAATATTCAAGAAGCTAGAAAATATTTTCTAAAGGCAACTTTTCAAACATTAGTAATGTATTTTCTATATTTTCAAATTAATCTACACAACAATCTGGGGTTCATTTTAGAAATCTATTACTAGTTCATAAAAGAGGGACAAAGTAACATGTACTCATTAAGAAAATGCAGAGAAATTACTTGGTTCAATTTATTAGATAAATAATGTTCCCAAGAATGTGGATCTTTTATCTCCAAACTTCTCCTGTTCATTTATCCCTTTTAAAGAAGTAGGAAGAGAGTTCAAAAGGTTCAATACTTTAAGAAAAATGTTTAAGAGAAAAATGATCCTTCAAAATTCACACTAAACGACTTACTAATTTAAGAATATCAGAATAAAATATTAAACTAGTGGGGCAATAACAGCACATACTTTCACATATTACTTGTAACTTTTGCAATTTTAGAAAATTCAGAGAGTTCAATAAACATGGAACCTGTATAATTTTTATAAGTGTAATTTCCTATATTTGAGGAAAAAATTTGGAGCCATTTTTGAGAATTGCTTTTCTATAAATTGCCTTCACTTTAAGCAAAAATGAAGTGAAAACTCATATTTTTTTAAAACTTGTATATCTTACTTATAGATCGAATTTTTCAAAACAGATTGTTTTAAGGAAAAGAATTTCTACTTTCAATTAACAGTTTGTGATGTTCATTTTTTGAAAATCCAGAGAATTCACCAAAAATGGGGCCTCCACAATTTCTATATCCACACTTTGTTCTATTCAAGAAATTTTATTCTCTCTCTTTTTTTTCTAACAAAAAAAATCGACCCTTTCTGCTGCAGCACTACAATACTTTACTCTGCAAGTATGTAATATACAAAAAAGTGAAAAGTAACTAGTACATACTTTGTTATATTAGATATATTGGTTATGTAATGCATGAAGGTAATAATAATAGTTGGATCAAAAAAAAAAAAAAAAAAAAAAAAAAAAAAAAAAAAAAAAAAAAAAAAAAAAAAAAAAAAAAAAAAAATTGCCTGGACTGGGACTTGAACATAAGCATACAGGTTCTGCAAGCAACTGACTTATCCAGAAGACCACCTGGCTGAGTGTAAATGAGCAATGTTCCTGCCAAGACAATAAAGGAAGTTCATGTTTTTGCAATTTTCGAAATTTAAGATGTTTGAATGAAAACAGGATGTAAGCCATATTATGAAGCAAAAATTGCTCTACTTCAGTAAAAAATTTGAAGTAGTAATTTTAAGCCATAAAGAAATTTTGTTTATGTATTTTTTACATTTTTTTAGTAAAAATTGCACCAAACTACTCATAATTTTTAAAAAAACTGTACATAACATTATTGAAAAATCTAATTTTGAAGAACAGACTTCATTCAGAAAAAAATACCAAGTAATCTATGTCTCTATGAATCTCTACATAGTCTAACTTTAAAAGAGTAACTTTGATAATTTTTGAAAAATCAGACGTTGAAATAAAAGTTAGACCTGTGCCATTATTATAGGTGTACTTTTATCTAATCAAGCAAAAATTTTGAGATATTTTTGAGAATATTTTGAAAATGTAGTAGCGGCTTCATGTAAAGTATCCCCAAAATTAAGACATCTTTTTCACATTGAAGACATTTTTCACACATTTTGTGGCAAAAAACGTGGATACACTAAATTCAGAATACACTACATTTTTGAGAGAGTAATTTAACTAGAAAATTTGGAGCATAAAAATCCACTTTTTCGGTATGAAGTAGAGATGCAACATCAATAATAAAACCTCAATGCTTCAATTTTGAACATCGATGTTAAAAATGCATCGACTGAAACCCATCCATGTTTTTCAACATCAATGTTTTTTGACTGCTTTAGTAATATCTAACATTAAATTCGTGTGCATTAAAATGTAACTTGAGTGTTCATATTTATCAATTCACCAAATAAGGGTACGAGAAGAAGAGACACCATACTCCCACAGTGTATGTGCTCCCCACATCACAATGTGCGAAACAAATATGAAGAAGGTGGGAATACAATGACATGGAGGTCATCTCGGGAGTGAGAGTTTGGTCGATGAAGAATGTAGCGCTACTTTGGTTCCAATTTTGGGAATTTTTAACTCGGAAACAAACGTCAGAAAAGAGAAAAACATCAATATCAAGAAAACAGTGTTACAACATTGATGTCAAGAAAACATCAGCATTAATACATTGACATTCTTTTCTACAAAAACATTAATGTTTTAAAAACATCAACATCGATGTCACATCCCTAGTACGAAAGACTGTTTTTCTGTCAAAAATTCTGCACATTTTCCTACAGCAATATGTAATGTTCTCGTTCTACAAAGAAGATATAAAAAAAGGGGTAAATGAATAAGAAGATATGAAATGTGAATGAAGAAAGGGAGAATGAGTGAAAGTGAGCTCCAAATGAGCATGAGTGAGAGCGAAAAAGTTTGAAGCCTAAGCTGACATCCCTTTAGGGACACACTACACAACACATAGTGAACATCATCTAAATATTGCAGTTATACCTTTCTGCTTACATAGAATAATTTGATGTAACATAGTTAAAGAAAAGTGACTTTATAAACAATTCTAAATTACCATGATAAACTTTGTAGAGAGATGGAAATTGGGCAATTAACACCTCACAAAGAGGCTCTTTGAAAACTTCTAAAAGGTAGATGAAACTAGAGATCTCGTATAAATCTGATATAAACAGAGCACAGCATTCCCAACATCGACAAAATTACTCGAGTAATACTTGAAATCAATACAATAATAACACAACAAATAACGTGAGATTCAAACCAAGAGCTCGTCACAGATACAAAGTTTGTTAAATCTGTAACTATTCACAGAATTAAGGACATTAAATGATATGAATTCAATATAATAAATCATATTTATTGCTAACAGTATCATATTTATTAGGTTCTAGAAAGTAACATTACATTATCTTCATATTCCAAATTGTCTCCAAGTATGCTATTTTTCTCATACATGAAAATTATTAAATTTTAATTTTGAAATGTATATGCTTACCTTAAAGCGCCACTCTCATCCACACGATATCGTTTTGACCTCATCATTTCAACAAATTGGTTAAACGATGCTTTGTCATTGTAAAATACAAGTACATCTTCTCCTGCATTAACCAGCTGAAAATTTAAAAAATCTATTAATATCATAAATACGTAGATAGAAAAGAAAGGCTGAAAATGAAAATTTCAACTTACCTCTTGCATAACCATATCCTGACATTTCCTAATGAATTGATTTTCAGCTTTCACTATTGTCTGAAGAAATTTTAAATACTGTACATGGCGGCCATGAGTTTCTATGCAATGCACAAAATGTTGAATTACTTTTTCATTTACTTCATTGCACAGTGTTGAATTGTCTTGGAATATGCTACGAACTGTTTCAGCCTCTAGAATCTGATAGAAAATATCCCAAATGCTTATTTGTTTACATTTTAATATTAAAAATCAATTTTAACATCTCATAAGGAATAACAAACCCCAGGGTTTAAGAAGAGGTCCAATTGCTTGTGAAGTAGAACTTGGTTCTGTTGATTACCCAAACAAAAGTTCTGAAGAAACTCGTGAGCTAATCTCATAAGTTCATTCATTCTAACATCTTCTTTCTTGTCATACGGTACTTGCAGAAGATCTAGGACTACAATGTGAACACCGACATTCCTCAACAAGCGCTGTTCATGCTTTCGAGGCTTCACCACACCCCCAGCACATACTTGAGTACACAATTTATTCATACGAATTAGTATCTGAAACACAGCAATACATTCAAGATTATTAGAAAATTGAATACCATGATATATTTCTCATTACATGTTTTTGATTCAATGATTTATTTTCATTACGAAATAGTAAAAACTGTATTTAACATATGTTGAAGAAGTATAACATGATTTTGTTTGTTTTTCATAAATACTGAATGGGTCAATTCTTCAACTATTGTAAATATTAACCAATTAGCACCAGAATACTTAGTACAGTGTATAAATAAAGAAATGTGTGTTAAACATAACTTACAGCCCAGTTTTGGTTACATACTGTTGCTATATAGCAATGCTAAGCACTTCATTACAAAGATGTCTCAAGAATACTATTTAAAGTAAATATATATGAAAACATGATCTTCAGAACATATAAATATTCCTTTCCAAATATTCTAACTGATAAATGAACAACTTTTCTCTACTGAAAATACTGAGAAGGCAAAAAAACTAATTATTTACTATGTAATAGGGTAAAAACAGACAATACAAAGACTAATTGACATTTTGAAGACAAATTTACATTTTTCATTATCACAACATTTCTTCCTTTTACTCTCCAAAAAACAAATGAAATTATCTAGTCAATCATGTCTGGAACTCTGCTATTAGACTCGGAAGTTAGGAAATGGGCCGGCTGACCTGCCCTTCGTGATGCTGAATCATATTTTGTCAGATAGGAACCGACAACTTTTTCTTAAAGTCTAGCTAAGATATCTCTGTATTTTTGAAATTCTGTTTTGCATCGCTGCATCAAAAATCCATGTAAAAATTGGCCACCACGACTTTTCCCCTAATGTCTATGCAATAGCTTGCCGAATTCTGGTTCGACTGATTTTGCCTCCCATCAACTAATTGGAGTGACAAATAACATATGAGATGGTACTGATATACTTTTCGTGTGTTTTCTTGAAAATATATTCACAGTTCCCATTTTTTTCTTTCCCTGCTGTTGCTGAAGCCATTGAGACAACAGAAGCATCCAACATAATGCACACCACCATTTTTTGGCAAAGCCATTTCAGAAGTTTTCCTGTTCGATTTCTGAAACTGTTTCCTCCCAGTAAGGGGACATTCTATCTAGTTTTTCCTTATTATGCCAATCAAAGAAAAATCCATATCCTTCCCAAGAAATTTGACTTAGCAAATAGATTGTCCAAATAAAATTCGTACGAAACTTAAAAGAGGTCAGGCATTTCCATTACAAATGGGGATGCTGACTTTCCAAACATCTTCTCTACATTAGAATTAGGGCATGAATTTTTCCTTGATAAATATCAAAGTTTAATAAATATCTGTCCTTATTGACGAGTCGCATTTTTAATCTGAAATGGATAGGTTTCCCTCTCATACACTATTTCAACTATGATGACCAAACTATTTCCTCACTGAGCCATGAAAACGAAGTTTCCATGGAACAAAATTACCCATGAATTTTTCTTTCATTTTGTCTATAAGTGGTCTTAGTTTCCATGCTTTGATGTTTAGATACAATTTATTATTTTGGCAATAAATAAATCAACATCTAAAGATATCAGTCCCTTCTCATTGCATTTACCATCTCCAGTGTGTTCATGTCACATCTTGAGTCCTAGTAATTGTGCTTGGAGGGTTTCTTATCATAACGACTCAAAATCAAAATTGCTAAGAACCATCTTACTTCATCAGCCATTATTTTAGGGACAGGACAATTTTTGAAAAGGACATAGGGCTTTGTTGTTAATGTTAATATTCAGTAAATATTGCTAATTGTTTGCCTAATTGTTTCCATCTTTAATAACACTCAATAAAAAGTTCAAATATTTCTTCAACCGAGAACTTCACATATGCATCTAACAAACCTTCCTGAAACAGTACACACTGTTCTTCTAAATCTGCACTTTTCATGTCATGTCCTATTTTTAGATTCAGGTAGACACACACTGATACATTTTCCTATTGTAGTTCAATACAATTTGGGCATTTTATCATGAGTATCATCCACAATACCAGTGCATCCCAATTTTCGTCCTGAAATAAGACTTATTTGTGCACGAGCCCTATGTTGACAACTTGGCAAACTTAGCAATAGGTGATTCCTCACCCCCATAATCTTCATCAGTATTTACTTATGGTTCAGTTAGCTCCATGACTACATTTTCAACTCCCAAATCTTTGAAATTGCCAAATAAAATATCAATAACATCCAATATGGTAAGACCTGACACTAAATTCACTCCAAGAAAGTTCATAACATCTTTTGGAGGTTCCAATCTAGAAGATAAATTACATTTGGTCACCATAAACCAGTATAAAGCCTTCAAACAATAGTATTTGAAGATCATAGATCAAAAAGAAATACTTTACTGAGTTGACAGAGTAGTGCCTAGAGTTGTCATGAGGCAATGCTGTCGTTTCGCATGCGAGACTTGGAACATAAGTAATTGAAAATATTTGTCCTCAATTTTTTGAACTCTGTAAATGTGGACTTTACAACATAGTATAGAAACACAATCTTAAAATTATAAGAAATATTTTTTAAAAAAATTAAATAAATTATATTAATATATAATTTAAGAAAGCATCGTTAGAGATCACAGTTAACAGATAAAGAATGCACTCAAAATATTTGTACGAAAACTGTTGACAATATTACACATCAAACCAATATTAATTTGGGTGAATTTTGTCCAATATTAATTAACTAACTAATAATCCCCCAAAAATGCACCAATCATTTGAGAGAGGCAATTCCAAGCAGGAAAAAAAGTCACTTGAAAAATGCTAAAAGAATAGAACATTGCCGATCCGGTGACCGAGATCGCTAAGGCAGTAATGCTTTCACCTATCATTATATTGTGTCACAGTTATCATACAAATCTATAAATCATTTTAGATTGTTCCCAGTCTTATATAAACACCCTGAGTTTTACTCTATCAAAACATTTCCCCAAAAACAGGAATGTAAATTTATAAAAAATCATAAAACAAACTTTGTTTTACATAATTTTATTTCTTCTTTCTTCCTACTCCTTTTTCCTTTTTCATTAAAAATTTTTCTCAATTTTCACCATTTTGTGTTTTGCACTAAGCATTTATACAATATCACCGATCTTGGAAGTTCTTGCAAAAAATGTTCTTTTACTTTACTATTTCGAGCCATTCTCATTAAGAAACAAAAATGATGCCTATTACACAGAATTGAATGAAATCAATGTAAAATGTATGAAATGAAATTTAACTCGAACTGCGAATGAGAATTCCCATCACATGGGGCCCAAATAGGGAGGACTACAGATGGAGAATCTGATCGTTGTGTGCTTTCACTTGTGAAGCATCTTCAATTGAGTTTGAGGAAATTACCTCTTTTCCAAGTATTGCTTTCTTTATTTTCTCTTTGGTCAGTAAGTTTTGAATGTTTTTGAACAGGCAAAGGTTGTTGATTTGCAACTGTCCCAGAAAATGTCCAGGAATTGAGATAGGACAACATCCCGCTGTGGGTGTTTATTGCACCCACAAAAAGCACATTGGGGTGTACTGCACCCAAGATTCAATTCTCACTCACAAATGAAAAATATATAAAGACAAAACTGAATTTGTAAATTAAAACAACTATAAGGGATCACTGTCAACTGAAATTATAGACACTAAAAAACCAGTTTCCTCAATAAACTCAAATGCTCTGTATAAAATGTCTAGAAAAGGAATGACAAAACTTCAAAATTTTACTTTTGAATTCATTCTGAGGCAAAAATCCCCCTAAACATACAAGCAATTCTTCCTCTATGGGCTATATTTGCATGATTAATTTTGTCAAGTGTGATAGTGATAGGTTGGTACTTCACACACAGCAGTGACTGAGAAACTCTAACCATCAAACTTGGTTATCAAACTGCATGCCTCATTGGAACTCTGTGTCACCTTGCCAACCTACTTTTAACTGCAGAGATGTGAATTTTGCATGGGAATGTGGACATAAAGCAATGAAAACTAAACAGACATTTATTTTTTCAGTTGTTTTTTTTCTGACAGTATGGTAATGGCATTACATGAAAATCACAATTTACTAATTATAATGTGCCACATAAACACATATTCATCAACATCATCTTGCAAAGGTTGCAACAACCTGGTTCAATAACTCTGACTCCCTAACACTGCTTTTCTTCAGATTTGGAAGAAGTAAGGGACCTTCTGTGAGCAATATTGAAGGAAAATGCACAAGTGCAAGAAAAATTGTGGTTGTTTATCCCAGTGTGACCATATAGTGTTAAAGACTGACTACACGTAAGCTTTGCCTCTTCAGTTTCCATGAGTGTCATTGAATTTTAACACTTGTGGGGAACTGTTTATCTTCAGAATGAATTAACGATAGCAATTTACTTCCACATTACACGTAGCAATGTCACTTAGTAGTAAATAAATAATGAAAATAAGTATCCAAAAAATACCTGCTGGATTTTCTTGTATTCATCAGCTTGTTCTCCATGTAAAGGGGGACCAATGTCTAAATCAATTGCTGATCCCTGTTTCTCAGAGGCTGATAAAGCTGGTGGTATTTGTTTTGGTGTTTCTCGTTCTCGGACTATCTCTTCTTCTTCATCTTTATTCTTTATTTTACCATGTTCTTCACCAGTTTTACATTTGTATACCCAGAGTTCAGACTTCTCCACTGATTGCCGTAATACGTCTAAATCAGACTTAATTTGTTTGTATGATTCAACATCCATGTCGGAAACCAATAACTGGACCTAGAAGCAGAAAAAAGTTTACAACAGTAACGAATACACACATTTACACACTTGCACAAAAACGAAGTAAAGTTATAGTAAAAATTGATCAGCTAGTTCCATGTGCCTTATCTCAACAATGGAAAAAATATCAAAAGGGTACGCCCAGATACGATAGTAAAAAGTTCCCTTAAACCACATGTCATTTGAGTAGTTACTCTATAACTCTAACATAAAAATAACATTTTTCAGAGGTTTCTTAGCTCCCTGTCCCCGATTTAGTTCTCTTAGGTGCCTCCACTAGAGTATGGGTGGTCAGAATAGAGCAGAAGCCGAAATCAGTGTAAAATTAATCTGAAGGAAAATACTGAAATTATCTTTCATAATAAAACTAAAGGAACATTTTTATTTTCTCATTATTATTCAATCTCAACATCCAGCAAAAGTGGAATGGTTTCTGTCACACAGTACTGAGCTTATAAAGTTGTAAACACATTTTGGGGATCGAGAATTGGCAGTTGGGTGTGACTTTAAATCAATTTTCACTTTTCATATAATTATTATTTACAAAAAGCAGAGTTTTTGCACTTGTACGGATTGTATATACTTACTGTATTATATTTAATTTACTGTCATATAGATACATATATAAGAATTAGTTCTTAGGTATGTGGAAACAACTACAGATGAGAGAGCATAGGCTTCCACTGCCGCAGTCAGTAATTACTTGGCCACATCCTAGGTAAAGGTACCAATGTTTCCGTTGCAGGTGTCTAGGACACGGCGTCTACCAGACAGTCACTTCACTGCAATTGCCTTAGTTTTTTAAATTTCTCCCCCCCCCCCAGCTATTGAAAATAATTTGAAAAACTTCACAAATGTTGTGACAGAAAGTTTTATGATTTTTGTTGTCCCTGGTCCCATGTTCTAAGACAGAATGAAACAGTTCTTGTAAATCCGAGTTCCTGTTCCCCTTCTTTTCCCCACAAACCCTTTACCTGTGACTGAATTGTTTTTTCATAAACTGCCAAAAACTATTATCTCTCCTTAGAATATGATATACAAAGTATTAAAACGCATGATAATTTGTTACAATTAACAAAGTCAAAATATTACAGGGTGTTGCAACAATGTATACAAATGTATAATAAACTCTAAAATAAATGCACAGAACTGTTGCAGACATTTTCAAAGTATATTTAAAGTCAGGGTGATTTAAAGACAAAAAAATGGTAAAAATGTTTTTTTATTTTTCAAATGCAGCCCAGCAGTCGAAAAAATCTTAAATAAATCCACAACAATTTGTGTTTTGAGAGGAACTTATGAGATTTTTTCAAGCCTGTTTCAGCTTTCTAAGAGAGTAAATCAAAATAATTTTTTTTTGTGTGAATTTTGGCATTGAGAAATTATCAAAAAATGTTTTTCTGCTAGAATGAATTATTTTCTTATTTTTCATATTTTTTCAATCAGATAAAACAGTGTTCAGTTGATGAAAAATATTAAAATAAAAAAAACACGTTTTTGGTTGAAGAGGGTGTGGGTGGAGGGACATGGGCTAATAAACCTCTCAAAAATATTATTTTTATGTTAGAGTAGTAGTGTAACTACTCAAATTTAATTTTGTTTAGGGGAACTTTTTAGCATCTAATCTGGAGGTCCCTATAATCTTTAAAACCTATGAGACTTATAAAGTTCTTTATTACTATATCATTTCAAACAGGATTATGGAACTCACCTGTTTAAAGGCTTGAAGTACTTCTTGACGCTGACTGAAATGTCGAAAAAGTAAATGGAGAGCCCCAGATACCAATGGAGGATAATCATGCATAGTCAAATGTAACAACACTCTTAAGAAAGTGCGACCACCTTGGCCATCCAAATCTAATGCTGCACACTCTTCACTGACAAGAAGAAATAATATATAAATACCAACAATTAAATGACCTTTCATATATACTGAATACACAAAAACTTCGTTATCAAACAAATTTTACTCACCTACTTCCAAATATTCCTTCTGCTTGAGTTCCTATGCTTTCTAAATCTATGCTCTTTTGACCTAATGTAACAGTAACATCTGATGTTCGTTCGGTCTCATCAAATTCTCGTTTAAAAATGGAAAGCAGACAACTAATGCGATAATCCAGTCGCACATCAAGAATAAACTGAAAGGAATATTGCAAAATGAGAAGGAAGAATTGCAACCACAACTACAGATGTTAGTTTTTTTAAATAATTGATCTAACTTGTATTCAACATTACTCTCATAGATTCTTCACTTTCTTTCCACAGAGACATTATAAAAGTCCAGCAATGGTATTCCTTGCATTAGTAAACTGTTGTAATAAGATACCTGCACCTATTTAAATAATAACTGCAGCACTATACAGTAAAATTTTACTTTTCAACCTCTCCTAATATTTTCATGCTTAATCAATTACGCACTAGTTATAGTAATGTGCTGTAGATATTGCTGAGTTTTTTAATTATTAATCTCATTCTCTTATCTGTTGATCTCTTGAATTTAAATTTCTCATTTAACATAATGTAAATGTCATTAGCTCCTTTCAATGTATGTTCCTGTACTAAGTACATCACCTTTCTCACATCAACATTAGAATCTTAAAAGGTTTTGCTCTTTCATAGTTTCAGCTGCACTTCTCAGATCAAATTTTTTCAGACAAACCAACTATCTTTATTTTTTTTATTCTAGGAATCCAGTGTTACAATTTTATAATTTCCCCCTACTTTTTTTAGAGTTCTTGAGAGTTTGTCCAACAAAAACACAAAAATTGTCACTATTTGACCCCCCTCCCCCATTCGTACAATTTTATGTCTTCTACTCTTTTGACTGTATCCAAATTATTAACTTACAACTTTAAAACTGATGCAACAGAAATGTAATATGTGTAGTAAAACAAATATTTTAGCAAAGTATAAAGGAAAGAAAACAATCTATTATACCTACTTTTCCTAAGCCAAACCCATACATTGAGAGCCTTTTCGCCTCCATTCAACCAAAAGATGTAAAAACAAAACACATTATTGTTATGGTACGGTACATACTCAGTCAACCCCTTCCCCCATTAGTGTGCATATATTTGTTGAATACATGCACTAGTGGAAATACTAAATGAATTTTCATTTGCATGTTTAAAAAATGGTGTTCATCATTCTTTTCTTTCATGTAATATCAATGATCTCGAAGTTCAGTAAATCTATTTCTCTAGTTATTATTTTACCAATTTCATCTTTCTATTATTGCTGGATCTGATCATGATTGGCAATAATTTTTAATGTTATTTGTTACATTTGAAAGAGGGTAACTTCTTATCACCTTACCGTATTATCTGATAGTCATTATGAAAATTGTGAAGCTTCTTTGTCACTTTCTTCTATGAAGCATTCTCTTCCTTATTTCTTTATTTAACATAAAAAGTGGTAAAAACTTAGTAATGTTTGGGATGAAGAAAAGTCATATTTAATGTGCGAACAAAAGGAGCTCAAGAGATTGCAATTTTCAAACGTTCCCAGATGAAGATCCAGATGAAGACGTTAATGAAGATCGGACTTCAAACCGTATTTATAATCACATGTCTCTACAAAAGGAATAAAATTTTATGAACTTTTTTCTCTAGGAATCAAACCTTCGCCTTCAGTGGAGGACCACAAGGCGCAGGACCACAAGCCACTTGACTAACTTGCTCACTGAGATATGCAAAGTAATACTAATATTACTAGTGATTGTGAAATCTAACATAATTCCAAAATGTAACTCAAAAATAAAAAAATACTACAATTTCAAAAAATGTGTACATGAAATAATATTAAGGTCCAATATTGAAAAATAGAGAGCATTATGCAAAAAATATGCATCTTTAATAATTTAGGTCTAAAAATGTGTTGAAGAAGGTAGAACCAATGCAGTTTCTAAAAATTCACGTTTCAACAAAAATCATGCCTAAACCACATTTATACGTTCACTTTACTCTATTCACACTAAAAATGTAAAGCAAAATTTTGGAGCCATTTTGAAAAAAATTATGTCCTAGGAGCTTTATGTAAAGTATCAACAAATTAAGTGTTAGAATAAGGCATACTTTCTTGAATTATAAGTAATGGTATCGTAGTACTGTAATATTACAACTTCTATACTACCAACAGCAGTCATTACTTGGGCAATTAGTAATTAAACAAAACACAACAGGTTCACAGCAAATTTTAAAACAATACCAATCAAATTTACATTTATTTTTTTTATATTCAAAAGTTAAAAGAAAATGACTTTCTGATTTTGTATTTGGTGTTTTGTGCTGCATATTTACAAATAGTCTTAATGTTGTGGTAATTTTAACCAACGTGCAAAATTGTCATGACAGAGTTACACAGAAAAAAATAAAAAATTTAAAAAAATTTTAAAAAATCAAAAATAAAATTATTTAAGATCTAATCTTGAGGAATAGATTGTGTAAAGAAAGAAATTTCTATCTTTAATAAGGTAGCAATAGAAGGGTGACAAAAACTGAAATTCCTTTAAATTTCAAATGTTTTAATGAAAATTGGACATATGTCATATTGTTGTGTAAATTGCTCTATTTGAGCACAAAAAAAAAATATATATAAAAAAAATAAAATAAAAAAATCATCTCTCCCCCCAAAACACTATTTTTTTCTTTCTGAAAAATATCTTATCTATTTTTTTAATTGATGAATTTCTCTCACAATTGTGAAAAAATACTATTATTTTTACAAAATTGTATGCAACATGGTTTAACGATCTCATTTTGAAGAACAGATATTATTTAAGAAAAAACTCTCAAACTTCAATAAGGTGTAGGAGGGATCAGTTCAGACAATACATTTCTAGTTGGTCTCTGTGACCAATATTAAGAATCCTGTTTATACAAATCATAAAAAAGTAAAAGAAAAAAAAAAATATAAATGGATATATTTAATTTATGTACCACGGTCAGAGAACATTTTTACTATACCTGCAAAATTTCGATTATTTTCAACTTGGTGTCCATGACCAACGGGTACTCCTTCAACTGGGATGGCTTATTCTGCACTGAGGGAGAAATACCAGATCTCGTGAGTCCAGTCGTTCCTAAAGTGAGTCCAGTCATAACTGCTCCCATATCACCAATTGATCGAAGCACACCACCTTCAGCTGCCATTCACACGTAAGGAAATGAACAAATTCAATAAAAATAAAATCCAAAATAAAGATACAAGAAAAAAATATAAGAACACAAAAAAATCTTAACAGAAAAATCTTGTAAGAAAATTCAAACAAAAAAAACAAAGTAGAAATAAATTAAATTATAATCAAAGTCACTTCCACACCATTCACTCCATCATTCATTCACTACTTCTTCTGTCTAAATAAATATCAAACAATGTTAACAAAAACTGATTGACTCAAAGCTTTATACAACAAAAGCAAGAAATTTAAAACTGATATGCTTAGTAATGCAGCACATTAAATAACTTTACTACCAAAGCAATACTTGATACATAAGCTAAAATTTATTTTGAGAGGTTTCTAACATTGTTGATAGGGCAGTTAGTAGGGAACCAAAAATCAATAGACTTTTACAAATATAATTTTATACAGTACTTAAATGTGGATTATACACTGAAGACGTTGAATAATTTTAAATTTCAATGTGTAAATTTGTCTTGATCTTACTTTCCCAATACTCATTAAATTTTTATAAAAGAGCATTCACAACATTGTGTTACCTCCTTCTTCCTCTTCTTCATTCTCCCTGTGTTCAGCTGCATGAAAATGAACAACATACTATATATAATGCAGAAACGACGCAAGTACTTTAATATGTATAGCAAAACCTTGATGAAATTGAATAATATTTAGTTTCTCAGAATTTCACACTTTATCACTCTGTCAAACATTCACCAGTCTCCACTGGCTACTACACAAGATCAGGCTCTAGAAAAGGAATAAACAAAATAAATACTTACAATCAATATCTCCAGTTGGTATCTTGCCATTAAAATCATTATCTGACACACAATCCAATATATTGAGTAATGTCTTGGTGAGGCGTAATAAATCACTAAAACTGTAGAATCCAAAATAGATTAAATCTCGAGCCAGTTTTACAACCTGTAAACACCACATCACTAAACTCTCAAGATCAATTGTATTATATACAATTGTGTTTTGAAATTTGTATCCAAAACAATAAAATCATATTTTGCAAGTAACTCAGAAATACCTCAAATGTCAACTTGTTTCTTTCTTGATCCCCAAAGCTCCACATTTCAGCAACCACATTGCAGAGATATTCTTCAACGAATATAATGGTAGAACTAAATCTTGCCCTCACAGTTTCTTTATTGTGATCTGGTGTTTTATTGCTGTCATAACTGACAAACAAATATTTGATGTTAAATTACTATGTTCATAATAGTAGTAAACACGTAGTATAGTACATTGTATTTGAAGTATAAGTACACACAACATAATGCAATTTAAGATATTTTTTGAGTGGATAAAAAGACATTTTCATCGTAACACACCCCTAGCTCTGCTCCTATCTCTAATAGCCAAAGGTGAGCTCAACAAAACATGCCCATGGTGAAGCTACAATTAATTCCAGAAGTAAAAGGAGCCATCTCAGCATTTGCTCAATGGATCAGAGAAACTGGACAAAAACCTGCTCATGACCGGAAGCTGAAGTACATTATATATTACTAAGAAGGTAGGTGGGGAAGGTATAGGCACACCTGGTGGAAAAGATAACACTGATATTCGCACTTTATGCAGCCAATCCTTTAGGCCTGTGTTACCCAAGCATTGCGTTGATGCGCATCATGTAATACTGTTGATGTCAGCTGTGTCGATGTCTGTGCACACCAGTTGTTTAATGCACATTTTAGATCGACATTATCTAATGTAAAATGGCAAATAAGCAGTTTTAGCAATGTGTGCTGTGCCTGCAGCTCAAGCTACAACATAAGTCCAGATAACATGCATTTTTTAGCATTCAATGTGTGATGCAGGTGAGCAACAACACAGGTCACCAAGAGTGCTCATGTGCTGTTTTACATAATATAGTGTTAATTTACATCGCACGTTAGGTGACTCATATGCACAGGCATTGATGCGAGTCAACACAACTAATGTCATCAGCTTTGCGTGATGCGCATCAACACAATGCTCGCACGACACATGCATAAATGCCATTATAAATGTTTGATTCACTCAAATTTCAAATTTTTCTTCAGATGTAGCGTATTTCTATTGTGCAATGTAAGTGAACATTATGCAAAGTTGCAATGGATGACATTACCACCCCTATTTTTTCATCCTTTAGATTTGTCCAAATTTCCAGAATTGATAGTTGATGGATAGGAACACTTCACATAGCAATGGAATTATACTACCTGAATACTGAATTCAACACAAAAATTCCCAGGGCTCCTCTACAATAATGTAAACAATCTCACTTATTGGTCACATATGCCATTAGCATTTATATGGTCTTAACAGGACTTTCATTACAAACATATTACTGTAAAATGCGTATGTGAAATAATTTAGCTTGGGAAGTTCAGGGATTTATCTGATACTTACAAAAAAACATAAACGTGAAAAAAGTATAATTGCATTCTGTATAAATGGAGTATCACTCTACTTCTGAAACATTATTTCTAACATTTTTATTCGTTAAACTACTACAGTTTCAGAACAACACCCATCAATCATGTCACCCTTCAATATATATCAATTCATTATTGCAAGGACAATTAATATGTAGAAAATTTTATTAATTCTACCATCATACATATACTTTCACAAAGGCTAATTATTCTAAATGGGTGAACTTGAGAAAACCTGAATACTTACTCTTGAATTGACATTTTTGATGGGATTTCAGACCACAATCGTGCATATTTCACTGGAGTTACTTGTTCTTGAGGATCACGGTCCACATGAAGATGCAGCATTAGACGACAAAATGATGCTCGAAGATCATATTGAACATTTACATCTGCCATGCACCTAGCAAACATTCAAAGTTTCTTAGAAAAATGATATTTATGAATATCTGGGAAAGGAATGGAAAAAAAATTTACAGTGAATGGGAACCCAACTATGACATTTCCTGCAGGGGAAACTAGAGAGCACAAATATGCAAATTTCTACTCTATTAGCTACTTTTCACAATTCACAACCCCATGTCAGCATGTATGCCCTTGTGCAATCACACACCAACATAAAAGGAAGTTTTCATGAAGAAGAGAGAACAATCAACCGCAAAATTTATCAATTTCAATAAAAGAAAAGTAGCTGAAGGTAATAGCTAGACAAAGCAAATGACAAAAAACAAAACACGGTTCTAAAACCTACATTTAAAATAAAAGAACCATGTTTTCCAACATTTTTCATTACATTTACAAATGATCAGAACAAATACTCACTTCAAAATAAGGTCAATGTCAAGATGCGGAGACAAAATATTGAGAGCCAAATATTGGCGATTTAGGCACATGTTAGAGAAAAGATCCAACTGATGACGATAATAATCCAAAATAGCTTGAGGTTCAATGTTTCCTAGTTTGGAACTACGAGACAGTTCTACCAATGACATACTTTTCTGCAAAATAGAAGTTCATATTTTATAAATAGTGTATTTTGGAAAAGCACATGTTTGTAGCAGGAAAAAACATTATATAATATATACCTCTCGATTACTCCACAGCAGCAAAACTTCTTCTTCTTCTTCAACAATAGTTTCAGGACTTTCATTTTCTTCCAATACAGATTCTTGTTCAATTTCCAGATGAGTTTTCATCATCCTGTAAACCATATTCATAAATACAATATTCAATTAAGCAGTTAACTAGGAGGTAACTGAAATGGCCAATTCAAGAGAGCCCAGCATAAATGTACTAACCATAAAAAGAAGTAATGATAATGGAAAATATTTATTTATATGTCTTATTAATAATTTCTCATTTTATTAAGGTATATAGGGAGTCATCAACATTCACTAATTCACCACATCTATGGTAAATCTATCACAAGAGAATTCTTTATGCTAATGTCCAACAATATAGACAATATAGTAATATGAAAACGATTATAACTCTGAAGTGGAGTAATCGTTGATGTATATACATAAACAATTACAATGATAAAAAACAATTCCTAAAATTTCATAATATAACACATTTATAGTAAATGAAATTTCGGTTACTTAAGCAACCAATAAATCGTGATTTTAAAAATGAACATATGCAAAGGTAAAAAATATTGAAAACGTTTTCAGAAACAAGTTATTAAAAAGTAATTACTGTTTCAACTACTTACAAGGTTTGTCCCAAAAGTAAAGCATCATATTTTTTTCTGATGCGACTATAAGTCGGAGAGCAGCAGGATTGGTTTGGATAGGGTAAGAGGAAATTTAGCTTTCCAACAGTTCCAAGCTCAGTTGTCTCCATGCCCTAGGGAGGTTAGAACATGTCCGTTTGTGAGCTCCTGTTCAGTAGTCGCATTGAACTTACAATGGAGATATCTTTGGATCAAAGATACACAATAAGTTTTGCGTGAAGCTGAAAAATAAAACGCTGCGGGATGCTTTTGAGATTTCATTCTAATTGTTTGGACACTGTTGACACAGGGAATGAGACGTGAATCTTAGCGTTAGACCCAGAAACAACGGGACAGAACACGGAATGGGCCCCCTTGGCGCCTTCACTCCCCAAGAAGGTTTGCATAAGCATTTGCATTGCATGTGAGTCTTGCTCTTAGCCTTTTTTTGACACCAAGAGGATAGTACACAGTGAGTTCTGACCTCTGGGACACACTATAAAAGCCTAGTTCTGCAAACAAGGGCTCTAGAACCTGAATAACTGGGTCACTCGCGTCCAAAAGGAGATCAGTGCTTCAACACAATTACGTGGTGAGCTACATCGCCTACATTGTCACGGACTACCTGATCTGCATTGGTAAGGCAATGCTTCCACAACTGACATATAGCCCCAACCTTACTCCAGGGCCTTATTTTTGTTCCCTCAGCCAAAAAGGGTCATGGAGAGAATGCATTTCAAGACTTTAGACAACATCAAAGTAAGTTCGATGAGGGCTCTAAAGGACTTCTTTGCCTTCCTGGGAGGGTATGAGGCAAGGAAATCATGCTGGGAAAAATGTATCAACTCGCAAGGGTTATACTTTGAAGAATTTTAAGTGGCTTTGCCAATCTCATTTAATAAATTTGTTTTTAAAAAAGGACTCATTACTTTTGGGTCAAACCTTGTGCTTCCTCACCTACAACATACATACGTACTAAAGAGAGAGTATTGTAATACTGCACCAAAAAGTGACAATTTCTTGTCACAAAAACTCATATTGTAGGGCCTTCCACTAACACAGTGTATAGTCAAAATTCCCATTTTGTGGGTCCTTAATATTGATAAACTGGTTTTACAGTAAAATTTTATAAGTGTGTGTCTGTTAGTGTGTGGGTCCGTCTGTGTTTTTTAAACAAGTGCAGGAGAAAATTGCTGAAAAATTAATTTATTTATTATTGTTATTTTTATTTAGCAAAGGGCACTTAAACAATGGCACAAGTCTCATTTTCATTTTTTTTTGTTTAATTTCATGTGATTTCATTGCGTACAAAATTTTTGAAAACACATTTTGTCAAACACAACTTCCAAACTTTTTCTTTATCTTTTTTTTTAACAAATAGGACACAGTACACTTGTAAAAAATTAACAATGCAAAAGAACAATATTGGTGAAAGATAATTTTTTTTAACCATTTGTCATCATACACATGTTGTCTTACAGGTTGAAGGGTACCTCTGAGATACCATAAGAAAAGAGCACAGTGACTCGGTGGGGTTGCACACTTCACTCTTCTGTCAGCTTGACCATCGTTTTGTGGTCACAGGAGCAGGTGTATAACATTCTATTCAACTTGCATTATATTTTAAACAGAACTGAATTCATTCGTCATTAGTTTTGCTTCAACTTTACAGAGCTAAATATTTAAATAACAAATTAAAAAAATAACAATATATTTTGCTTAATTTTGAAAATCACTTTCCAAATTGACATACCTAAGAAGTTAAATTTATTGATTGTATAATTTGAGAAGTAAACAACTTAATACAAGGCAAGAAAACAATTGTTTTATTTTAAATACAAAGATTAATGTATACAGAAATCATTTTTACATTTTCTGTATATCTACCATCCTTCGAACTGTCCATTTTGCACTATGCTAAAGTACTAAGCAACATTACAGAAGTATCGCACAGTAATGAAACAAAAATCACACTCTCCGAGAACGACAAGAATGAGTGTGGCAAAACATTACAATCGTATAATGTTCTTACAAATTTCGATAGACCATCTATTTTTGATTCACAACTGAACTCATAATCGGATGGAGATTTTATGTAGAAATATGAACAAAAAGCAGCTGTCAAATTTTAAATGCCCTCAGACTGGCTGAGGGAACAGACTCGTCTGAAAGATGCCCTCTAACCTTCCACAAAGCTCCAAGCTGAGAGCCATCGACGCCATGTCTTCTTATAGATGCCATCGGACAAGGAGATCGTTTATCAATGTAGGTATTTTATCAAACGCATCAGACCGCAAAGAGTTAATGAATTCCATTCTAAAAAATTAGATCATTGAATAAGGCCATGTGCAATTTTTTTAAATACGAGTTATTTTCACTCAGTATTTGCAGGAAATAAAAGCAATTTAAAAAAATATTTTCTCAAAAATGGCTCCAAATTTGTCAATGATTTTTTTCTCCAATAGAGGAAAATACACTTATGAAAATTGTACAGGCTCCATTTTTGTGGAACACTTCGAATTTTCAAACTAGTGGTGCTAAAACATCATGTAGTTTCTCGTCCATACTTTCATGCAAAATTACGCGAAAAGTACCCAAATCTTCGAAAAATTAAACACGACCTTATTTCAAAATGAATCTTTAAGGAACATATTTTATTAAGGGAAAAAACTAACTTCATAATAGTAGTTGTAGGAAGACGCCGAAAAAAGTTGGAACTTTTACAACTTTTGAAAAACTTGAGTTTTTAATGAAAATGAGAACTGCACAATTCTCTTAAATGCCCTTCACACTATCCAACAACAAAATGTAATCAAAAACGATGGAGCCATATTTTTGGAAATATCCCAGTGGCTTTATGTAAAGTACACCCCAAAATTAAAATATCGGTTTATAATTCACGAGACTGCATCATCACCCAAATCAATTGGAGAATATCAATTCTGGAGAAAATTGGCCGAATGGTTTAGCCACTAGCATTGTTCATGAATGGACAGACAGATAGACTTTTCCCATCATTCGATTTTTCAATATCAAGGACCCACAAAACATGGATTCTGGTTACACCATGTGTTAGAGGATTTTTTCCTCTAAATTTAGCAACTGGATTGATCCACTTTTTTGTTTCCAGGGCCCTGTAATAAGAGATTTCCTGCCAAAAATTCGCCATTTCTTCACGCAGCATTAGATAACTTTCTCTGTACTACGGAACAGGTACCGGAAAAGTAAAATTGCAAAAGCAATAAATCAATTAAGAAAGTATGTGTGCTATTGTAGTTCCAAATTGGTTCTGGAAGTAATTGTTGGATACCTAGATATACATATCATGGCATGGAACAATCTTCTTACCTTGTCTCAATCAGTATATCAGAATTTTTTATACTCAATACACTTTTGCATATGAGCTCCTGAGTGACAGCAATGGCTTTTTTGTTTGATATACATAAGTCAGACAGATAATCTAAGAAACGTGACTCCCAATTGTGCATGTTCTTGCGTACAAGACCAACAAATGTTTCTATTTCTGCAGCAGTGATATGCTTCTCCAAAAGTTTCCTATTATTGTGGAGCAATGCTGTAATTGTGTCCTCTGCTAAAATATCATAGCCTATTTGTTTCTGCATGAATCCAAAATGTTTAGCAATGTACTCCTGTAAACAACGTAACATTAAATATTAAGCAATAAATCTTTTTTATTTACTTTTATAACAAACAACCTTATTTAGATTTTCACATATCTTCTTCCTTTAGACCACATACCTGGTTTTTACGATAATCTTGCTGACTTAATCTAAGAATTCTATAACAGAGCCTGAACATATATTTGTAAGGTGCATGACGGGGATCATTTAATTCTTCAATTTTTAGAAATGGACCTTCCCCTTCCTCAGATTCTAGAAAAGGTGCTTGAAGAATCTTAAAAAGCTGCTTCAAAATGTATTGCTCTCTAAGCAATTTCTGCCTATCCCTGTTGGGATTCTGAACAATTAGTTCTAATGCTTCCGACTTATTTTGTTCATTTTCTAAGCCAGCAATGAAGTATACAATATCCTGCAGCAAACTGGTCACAGCTCTGAAATTGAATCAGAAAAAATAACTCAGAATCTATGATTTGAAGTATTACTGTAAATACAGAATTTGTCCTGCAAAAAAATAAAATAAATATATTGCAATAATATAAATTAAGGACATGACTTTTATATGTAGATCTAATGCGGAAAACAAACAGTACAGAACATTTTAGGTTAATAAGGTGCGTTAAATACCTCCTTTCATTGTGTGAAATCGTGCCTTTCTCTAATTTGGATGATATAGTAGCAAGAACTTTGCAGGCATCATTGGCAAAATCAAGATCTCTTACTTCTGTCGGTGATACTGATATTAAAGCAAATGCTTCCTTATCTTCTTTGATTGTAGCACAACCCACCTAAAATAATTAAATGTTCAATGCTCTTCAGAAAACCAATCTGTTTATCAAATATATAAATAAAATTCTTACTTTGGACATGACTGGTTTCTCGTCATCTTTATCAATTGGAATGGAAGTGCTGTGAACCCATGTATTTGTGCATATATGTCGCAATCGAACATAAGAAGATTGAGGAACCAAAGAGTCACCCCGCATATGTGTGGTAGCATCCAATTCAAATAGAGTAGCTATCTCATTAGAATGTGGAACAGAAACTAAATGATACACTGGCCCTCCTTGTGGATCTAAAAAGAATACTCTTCATTAATCCCATTATTAAATGAAAACATACAAATCATCAAATATATATATATCTTTATATATATTTCAAGAATGAAATTAACATAAAATTGATCTTACAAAGAAATGTATGATGCTACACATATAAATAAAATACTGATTCCAAGTACACTTTTGTTTCATGTTATAGCATGAACTTGTTAAAATTATTTGATTTCTTTGCTTTAATTTCATGACAAAATTAATCAAAGAATGGTGTTTGATAAATTATGGAAACAAGGATCCAAAAATACCTCTTAATTTGTTACGCATGGAATCAAATGTATCATCATCGTCAATTTCTGCAGCTAAGTACTGGCCAGTTGCTAGATGCTTAAACCTGAAGAGAGAGTCCCACCGTCCTGCACCTCCCCGGCATGGATCATGTTGGACAACCTGGAAAGAACATATGGAGTCGTATAGCACAATCTTTCTCATGTAAAACTTATAAATATATTTTAATTATATGATGTCTTAATAAATGCAAATCCTCTGATACAACACTTGCACACAATAATTGTTATATGTTAATCATCGTCATTATTATACATGGATTTAACCATAACTGCACTTGACCCTAATCAGCTGTTACAGTGTCATCCAACTGGGATGTTGAACATCACCATAGTGACATGTAAGCTCCCAATTAGATGACACCGTAACAGCTGGCAACCTGCAAAATGCAGCTCTAAATACATCTTAGTATAAATATGGCGTTAAAGATGGCATATACATAAAAATTACCACTATCAATTCTATTGAAAATCTACATATATAGCTATATACATAATCTAATTAGAGCTAATAAATTAAAACATTTGAGTACCTCCACTTCCCATAAAGCTTTGCTACTTGTAGCAGCTGTTGCTGAGGTACGACCTGTTGCTCGGAGAAATAAATGCTGTTTTTTCTTATATTCATCCATTGTAAGAAACTTTTCTTGTTCAGCATGAAATAAACGTACAACATCACCTCCTTTCAAAATTTCTTCTTGGTTTTCTTTGTGTTCCATGAATAATGTAACTTTCCATGATGTACTTGAATTAACAACATTAACCTATCAAAGGGCACAATATCATTAATACATATTAATAAATATTATTGAAATGAAGTTTGGCACTCGTTTATTCTCCAAAAATGATTATGCTTAATGTACAATATAACACACAGTAAATGTAGTAAGTCAATATATTAGAATTTGAGGGCATATCATTTCTGTGGGGCACAGAAAAGGCTATTTGCAATGATAAACATCTGAAATAATAATTATTAAAATATATTTATTCTTAACTTTTACATTATATCATTTTATATTCTAGCCTACTGTTTACAATGGTTATATTCATAAAGAACAAAAGACTATTCATCTTACTCAATTGCACTAAGTTGGCAAGTGAATGACACTGGGCTTAGATGAAGTACACCACAATGTTGACAATAAGTGGCTGTGAAGAGAAGATTCTACTGACTGTCAGCTAACAATCAAAGGCATAATTTCTATAAAAAATACCCCACAAAAAAGCATCTACATTCATGTCCCACCATATTACTTTAGCCTTTAGTGCTGTACTTATATGTTCACCTTATCTTCTAGTTACTGTTTGCAGTTTTATACTTCTTTAGAGTTTATTGAAATGGTGCTTAGAGGATCCAAATTAACTTAACCAACTATGGTTTGTTAGTTCTACAGCATAATTTGCCTCTATTCCACTAGTGCCAAAAATCAATACATGAGAAGTATTGTGTCTATAAAAAGTAAGTAATATTATTTAAGTTAACAGTGCAAATTTTATTGATTTTATTTCAAGTTTTATAGAATAGTTTACTTAATTATTTGTGATAACGTGATACTAATCTATGAGCAACTACAGAATATAATTCAAAGAATAGGACAATAATACTGATATATTGCATGAAGGAATATATATGTACATTAAATTGAAAAGAAAATCACCTATTGATGAAAATTAATCATGCGCATGTTAATTAATCTACTCTTGGAAGCACTGTGCCATTCTTTATCTCTGTTCATTTAGCTGCACAAAAAATAAACAGCAATGCACTAATGAAAATCATGAGTTCTTTAGTTAATGTTAATTAGAAAATTCATATTTCTATACACAAGAAGTAGTTTACCTCTTTGCAACCAGGGTTGTCTGGAAGCTCGTAACTGGCCGCAACATGTAGAACTTGTGGACCAGCATTCACAGGATTAATAATCACTTTATCACCCACCACAACATTATCCCCTGGTGCACGTAATTTGTAGAAAGGCAAAATATAAAACCAAGAGCCCTCATTTCCATTTGCATCCAAATACACACGCATAGCATTTTTTTCTAAAAGTGCAGGTAATCGTTTATTTACAGTCAGGTACTTGTTTGATTTAAGATGCAACAACTGCAAAAACAAAATAAGATAAGAAGTTTGGGGCAATACATGTTAACATTACACTCACAAGCATTCAAAGGACATCATCAATAAAAGAGTTTATATATAAAATTTACCTGCACAACAACTCCGTAAGTTACATTTTGTCCAAGTACTTTCCGATTTTCACTCTCATTTTGCCTCTTTTCAATTTCTGCAGCATGCTGAAAATGAAACAATTTAAAAATAATTGTATACACAGATTAGAAGTCTGAGGTATGTTATTTGTAGAAAATTCATTCATAAAGCAAAATAAGCAAGACGAAATTTATCATGCATTCTAAACGTATGATGGTAACAGTGCACTGCTATAACAAAGCAATAATGGTGGATAATCATAACAATGAATTATAAAAAAAGTGCAAAACTGAAGTGACAAAAATTCAAAGAAATTAATAAAAGACAATCTATAGTTTTTAGATTTACTCTACCACTTAGACGTTATTTAAGTCTTTGGAAGGAGGCAACCAATCCTACTAATTCTAGTTTAGTAGCAACACACTGAAAAACAAAGACATACACATTTAGGTCATCATTTTAAGTTTTCTATTACAATACGAGGATACTAAATTTGGAAATACAGAGATGTGACAGATCAAAACCACAATCACGAATACATATTTGTTCTATCATTGGTTCAGGATTTTAAGTAACACATTAACACACAAAACACCAAATTTATTACTCAGTAAAGTTATGTGAATGTGGTATTATGCTGAATCATACTTCAGAAATTGATAAATGAATCGTTGAGTACAGCACTTTACAGTACTTTATACTAAAGCTCACAGAACAACAATTCAACAGGCAAAATATAAAACAAGAATTATAGACTGTTAAACAGGTGGAGCCATACCTCAAACATGATAGCCAGCTTTTTTTTTGATTCACCATTAATTAAAATTGTATCTTACTATAAAATGGTAACAATATAACACATAGCATGAATGTATGTGAATATGCTGCAAAGGATTATGAGCATTTAATGTATTAATCTAATGGTTACTGTGCTTTTTAAGGCTCATAACAATACATATCAAATGTGTATCCTGTGTGTTGGATCATGGCAGAGGTGCGCAATAATGGAGCGTGTAGCATCTTCACTTGATGTGTAACAGGCTTAGGAGACTGTCCCATTTAAAGGTGCAGTGTCAATTTTAAGAGCTAGTGCTTGTTGTCATTCCAAGATTGGTGAAGCTGCTCATCCACACATTCAAAAAATTTTGCGCTGGATATCACCACGTCAAATAGAAAGACATTTAAATTATACTGAATTATAGGATAACAAAATTTAGACAACGTTCTATAACCAGCAAACATCATCAAATTGTCAGCAACCAAAAATTAATTTTCTTAGACACTTGAAGTTTATAAAATGTAAAGGAAATGAGGATATTGATTAAAAAACCATGTTATATTTTAATACAGTCTTTAAGGTTTATTGAACAGCAACATTAAGTTACAAAATTAAAATGCAATTAAATTTGCAAGCTTTTTTATACATATAAACCTTCAATATTATGCTCAAAAACAATTATTTAAAGTATTATAAAAATATGTCGTTTAAAATTATCTGTAATTTTACTTCAAAGTCAAAGTTTATAATGGAATACTTTGTCAAAATAGTGTCAAAAAGTGTTTGAATACAACAAAAGAAATAATGAGATTTAGTAGAAATTTAAAACCAAGCAAGTCACATATATTTATCAATCTCTTACTATTACTCTAGATGCTTCTCGAAGGTTTACTTTTGAACAATCATATACAATAAAATTCAAATCTTTTCTGTTAAAAATTAAAGCAAAAAACTATTTAAGCAATGTTCATTGTGTCAATTCAATAGAATGATCAATACAAGTAATATTGTTACACATCAAACAATTTTAAAATGATCCACACAGTTTTGAAATATCTCTGCAAGGAGTTCAATATTTCAAAATAGTTTGGGTTTCTTTGTTAGGTTTCTTGTGTTTGGTGTTTCTTCCTATATGTTCAACATTCATTTGTATAATAGTACAATAAGACTTTAAATCTAGGGGAGCCAAAATTTTCATTATTAAAATTATTTCTTAAATCATTTTAACGGTTAATTATGGAAACATAATGTTTAATAGGTATCACAAAGAGAAATCATAGAAAGGTGAACTTAGCAATTTGTTCAACAACTCAGAACATCGCATACAAAGTTTGGAATCAACACATTACATTTGTATTATTTTGTGCTAATTTGTAATACCTCAGACAGTTGAAATTTACTGAAAAATTATAAATGCTATTTCAAGGGTTTTAAATAAATTTACTTCATAAGAAATACTCAAGGCAAATTGAAGTATATTGAAAGAAATATAATATGTTAATATGTAAATGACTAATTATGTCTCCTGTATGAACAGAAGAGAATTACTGTAATAATAAATTACAATGAGAACAATAAATGTCTCTAAGCTTTTGAAATTAAAACATTTACTTCTTGAAATAAGAACAACAAAGACAACATTAAAAAGAAGAAAAGTCAAAATTAATGTCTGAATTAAATACAGCGATTTGTGACAGATCATCAGCTGCATACAGATATAAAATCTGGAGCTTTGTTACAACTTCAACTTTAGGTATAAAAACTTCTTATTTGATAACTGTGTCACAGCTGATGATCTGTCACAAGTCATTATATTTAAATCGGACAATAAAATAAAATTACAATCTGTGACAACATGAATTCACACTTCCACCAGACTGTGTATACATGTTACTATGTATACAGAAACTTCTAAACCATTCATAAGAAATTGTACATGCAATAATCACCACATTTACAAAACAATTTTGTCATCTTTGTTGAGATCTGAGGAGGATTGTCTATACTTGTGGGATAATTGAAATTCTGAAGGTATCCCCCAATGACCCTCACAAGAAGGGAAGGGGGACAGCTTAATTTATATATTTTTTTATTACAAAATGTTTGGACTTGCCAAAGTTATATTTATAAGCAAAGTTTGCAAGATATTTGATAATTTTAGAACTTCTTGCATACCGTATAAAGATAATTTAATTAGGGGAACAATAACAATGGAAATCAAACAGAATAATTTCCACTTTTCCCCAATGTCATTCCAAAGATTCTTTCATGTTCCCTCCCTTTAAACTGATAGCAGTTAGAATCACAAATGTAAAGCAATAGATGGCATACCCAATGCAAATTACTACATTCGTGTGAAGAACTTCAAAACAAAGAAGAATTTTTTTGTTAAATTCATTAATACCAAAGAAACATTCATTCCACTCACAATATTAAATTTTATTACAACAGAACAAGAGTCTGTCTAAAGGTCTTGGGCCAATATTTGAGAGAAATCTGAGCCTGAAATGCACTTGAAAATACAAAACCATTCAATATTGAGAAATTGAAGTAGTTTTACACATCTTATGGATCTCCTCCTGTTTGAAACTTTAAAATAGTGTGAAAGAATCTAAAGAACACTTAACAAGCCTTATTTACTATGGGGTACATCAACATTCCAAATTCATAACAGCATTCACATCAAGCAATCACTTCACTGAGTAACAAGTTCTATTTCACCATTTTGTACAAGGAAGGAGCAGGGTGCAAACCACAACCCAATTATTATATATTTTAACACAATTATCTTACATGCAATCTCTTGAGAAGTCCTGCATCAGTTCCAGAACTAGCACTCTGCTTCGCTGCCTTCCAGAATTGTTTTTGTGCCGAATACCTATTCATAGGGCACATTTTAAAAAGGCAATCTGAAAAACAGATGAAATTATATAAAAATTAGATGCTATACATTTGCATTTAGAACCTATGAAACACAGCACTCAAGTTAAAATGTTGGCAGGAAACAAAATTTTTAGCCTTCTTGGAATACCTGATAACCTGAGAAACTGTAATTCAGATGGTTTTGTGTTATTATAAGTGGAAAAAGTCATTGATTTTGTCAACAAAATGATTTAATTTGAGAGTTAACTTTTAATAACATTCCAAAAAATACAACAGCATAAATCACATGCTGTATTGATGGATCTCAAGTCTGTCTCGCATTAAAAGAAAGAAGAAAAAGATTCAAAACAAGAACTTACTGAAGTTACCAGAATCAATACGTTTCATTGCTGTCAACAAATTAAACAAGTGCATGTGCTTCCAATAGCACAAGCACAACCAATAAATTTCAGATTTGTGGGGTTTGGATTAATGGGGCTCTACTGTATAGTATGAAATTTCAGATAATCAGCACAGAATTCAGGATGGAGAAAATATGAACAAAATAATAATAATAATAATAATAAAATGGAATGATAGTGTATATCACATGTTCATATAGCAGTAATTTTCACTTAGAGGAACTTGTACAATCAGTAATCTTCTTTTGCTGTAAGGAACTGAATCTCCTTGATGATGAGATTGCTACATTTTGTTGCCATTTTTTCACATCTCATGCTACATTGCATTGTCTGGTAAGCCTATTGAGGTATTTGTACATGTACGGCACATTTTCTCAGATAATCCGAACATTTCCAAATCCAAACAGGCCACACTCTCGATTAGTTTGGATACTGAGGTTCTACTACAGTACCTTGAAATGTAAAATACAATCAAATGCAGCTATTTCTGCAAGAATGAAAGTGAAAATTGAAAGAAAGATGAACTCTCTAATTTCTTCATACTCCATTACATATTTCTTATTTAATATTCCGTCTTTTTGTCCTTTTGGTATTAAAGTTAAAAATTTTGTCTTTTGCAATTCCATTCATAATAATAATATATTACATTCATCACACAACATTTACCGCCCATTATTTCTGTGATTGCAAAGTAAAAGTTTTGAAGTATATAGATTTAGTAAAGGACTTGACAACTTTTATCTTATGACCACAGATTGAATGTTTTCTTCTTAGTAAATCTGAGAAGAGACCTTCAGTATAGGGAGGCAAGTCAGTACACACATTATGTTTGCAACAGAACTTGGCAACTATTGGTAGTTGATGACTAACTTCTTGAAAGGTTCAGTACACCTTGGCTAGCAAGACAAGTAGAGAAAGATCGAAAATTTAATAGTGGAAATGCAAACATTTGCGATGTAAATACAGTGGAATCTAAGCTCCCAAGCTCTTGTACCAATATCACTTTTACTTTGCCTACACCACTTTCATTGTATTTTCAAGATGGAAAAGACAACATTCAAATACACGAATTACAATAAATTTTGTATTTTTGTTCTCATTAACTTGTCAAGCACTGTGTTCCTGAAGCAATTGATTTATTTATAAGTATAATACATACATTGAAATATTTTATGAATTTTATTACTAAAATCAGTTTATTTAATTTACATCAATTGGCGTAAGGCTTGCACAATTTAAGCTTTGGTTTAAAATCAACAATCCCAATGAATTATAAAATAATATACAGTGTGCACGATTCTATATTCAAGCTGACTTATTCAACAACAAAAAAAAGCTAATTTCATCACTTTTTAATTTCACCTTATTTTGAATATGTTGTTCCGCCTTGTTTTAAAAACTTTCAAACCGATGCTGAGTATTGTAAACGCAATTATCTAACAGCGTAACACTTCAAGCCAGATACATCATGAATCGTATATACATCTAGATTAATTTAACATTAATGAAGTCATTTAGTGATCACTTGATTTATCCAATTTCCATATAATATTATTTACAACAGAATTATACTCTTTAAATGTTGACATTTGTAACTTAATAATGAAATGTTTAGAAAACAATAAAATAAATCAATCTCCTTTTTCCACTGGCAATACACCAATTTACAACATTTTGCAACTTCTGTTCATCCAATCTTTACCTAATAATCACTGTTTAATTTTATTGCACATTCGAATGTAGTCATAAACTTCCAGCACAAAAAAGATGGGTGGGTAGGTAACTACATTGATTCTGAACACTATCTATTAAAAAATATAAGTATAAGCAATATTCAATAATACATTACACATTAATAAAAATGTATAATTATTTAGAAACATCAGGTTTGTTCTCTTGAGTTTTATCTAGTAATTGCAATTTCCATAGCCAGTTACAACATAAAAGAAATATTTTCTAATGAAACATGTTAATGCAAAATACATCTATTGGATGGTATCTAATCTTATCCCACCACTGCATATTGAAAAGATTTAAATCTAAATGGTTTTAGTGATAAACTGTGCTTTCCTTTTCATTTACAACAAACTGTGAAAGTGGACATAAGTGTTTTTTTACCTCTAGGTTACAACAAAAAAGAAACCTACCTCGAAATTTTTTGGGTGGATTATTAAGGTCACCTGCATCTGGACAAACCACACACCGATCATCTACTAACCTAAAAAAAATCAACTTCAATTAAACAAAGATAAAGTTATTAAAAATTAATAAAACAATATATGTAAACCAACGCATTAAAAGTCATTAATATACAATAAAAATATTAATATTTTTTTACCCCAATGTGCTTAAAAATCCACACACATTTCCTTCAGCATAGAGGGAAACAATATCCCCCATATGCAGAAAGCTTGCTGATCCTGTATTTTCAGTCATTATTGCTAGTAAGATTAAAAATTATTACACCAAAACACTTTTTCACAATGTTGTTACAAGTATCTCCTCTGCATTAATTCCACACACATCTTTTTGTATCACAGCTCCATATTTCATTTCTACCAAGAAGATAGTACAGATATATCTGAAACAAGTAAATAAAAATAAACAATGCATTGTAAATCTAGAATAATACATTAAAATATATTATTTGGATCGTTACACTCTGCTACACACACATAATAAATAAAAATTCCGACAGGAAATTAGAAACCTACAGATAGAATGCAGAATGACAATTCAGTGTTGATGACAATACAATGAAGGAACTTGTTTGGTTTAAACATTTGCAAACCATGTCACTTCTGTATACTGTGTTACTTATTCGCATTTTGTTAATCAACTCACAAAACGTGACTTGAGATTATCATCAGGTCATTAAAGAATGAATACAATGTTAGAAAATAACAAAGAAGTTGAACTCTAGCATAGCAATAAGAATTATTAAAGGTAAATTTTAAGAATTCCATGTAACAAAAAAATGGCAGAAATCATGTAGCAATTTTGAGTGAAGCACATCAAACACTCTACTGACCACTCAGAAAGTTGAATGTTTCATGACTTTGTATGCAATGACCTGTATATACTACTTCACTTATTATCTTCATTCTTAATACTCGCCAACATGAAAAGCCTCTTTTAAAAAAATCATTTAATACATAAGTGCATAAATAACACCTTTTATTAGTATGTCCAAAGTTGTTTCTCTCCTCAATATTAACAGTTAAATGGTACAATTGGCAACATGTGTACGTCTGTAATGACAGTTGCAGTTTTAAATTTAAATTTAACATATTTTAAAAATTATAAAACAAAATTATGATCATATGCCAATGACTGTACAAATAGGGATCAGTTCAATGGAGATATTATAAAAAAAGTAAATTCAGAATAGAACTAATTTACAGTAAAAGCACATCTTAAACCATTTTAAAAGGTCAAGAAGTGAGTGTAATGATTTGCTGTATAATAATATTGTAATTAATGAATGCAAATTGTATTCTAGGGATTTTCAAGAGTAGTTTATCACCTAATATGTTTTGAACATTATTTTGATGTTGCCAATGACATTTCACATTCCGGTACTATTCAAAAATGTTTATTTACACTTCATACAGTAACCATTTTAAAAAAATGTTTTTAATACAGGAGTTTTTAAATATCTGTATGTGATACAGGAAAATAACATGTAATTGAAAATATATAACCACTCCCACAAAGTGCAATCAAGAAGATATTTGATTTTTCATAAAACATTTCTGAATAAAGTATTAAACTGATCCTATTAAATCACACCAAGCCTAATCAGTTTCTCAGAGGCTACCTGTCAAATGCTTGAGAAGCAGCATGGAACATGACCGAATATATCTTTACGGGATTTATTGACAATAATATGCTCATGTATTCTATTAATTTATGTTGTCATATTCTTAAAGTCTTGAAAATACTTCTTGCATAATATTCAATTACAAGCACCGTTAAAATGCATTAGTGACACTTAACCTCAAATGTACAACCCACATTTAAGACTCCATTACAATTAATATAATGACACATATCACTGTTCATAAACTCTCCTTTTATAATATATCCACATAATATACTCAAGTGAAACTTACCTGTCGAAAATAAACAGTAAGACAAACAATGTTGGTAAAAGTACATTCTTCAAACAGAGTTAAATTGAAACTGTTTCAAACGCATAAACTGACACACATTTGGATCTTCCTTTTCACTTGGTATTCACTATTATGTGACTTTCAGACATAATCTCTCCACTGCTGTTTCCAGAATAACACGCGAACATGAAAAACAATGATCAAACACAGCCACCTTCCGCGCACGAGCTGGCAACTTTACGGGCTTTACAGACTGGCGCGTCTCCCCTCACGACCAGCTCACGACTCATACGCAACAGACGGGAAATATACCAATAACAGCTGGTGCAGTCAGACGCGAAGAACGTCATTTCTCAGACAGAAGCAACGAGATATTTTCTATACAATATCTGGAATTGTTGTTCCCCTATTGTATTGTATATTAATAACAGTTTTATCTCAAATTTCCTTCCGTTTGTAAAATCAGGAAAATTGGATTGTGACGGGTCATGTATCGTCGAATAAATGAAGGAAAGATATTGTCCGGTTTCGTATTTCATTTTCTCTCTAAAAAGGGATGCCAAATATAATTTAAGCGGCAATTCACTGACTCAACATGAACTTTAAACCACATAAATCCACAAATATACATATTTTTTATAACAATCAAATTCAACAACATTCGATGTCTCCGTCATTTCATTTCACCAATTGCATGTATAACACCAACTGAACAATTTCATAACATACGAGACTAATAATTATAATTTTTAAAATGTAATTGTATTCCCAGAAGCTAATTATTACGTTAGATTCTATCGACAAAATAAATATTTTCACAAATTAATATGCTTCCTATTTTCCCGTATCTATGTTTAAGCCCTAGTACTTCTGTTCTGACTTTAAATATCGGACTTCAAAGCCTGTTCACGACATAATTACTAACTAGAAAAAGTCTACACATGGGTTGACTTTTTCTACCGAGTCTTCCTGTTCTCTTGCTTTTCCTTCACAACAACATTATATTATAATCATTGTGAGAAGAGTCGACAATCCTTCTCGGTCGTCCTGACGTTGAGTTCCATTGCTCGCATTTCTTTTGAGACACGAGAAAAACAATAAGAGACTGAATAAAACTGCACAAATGGTTCTTCAAAAAGTTTCACATTCCCACAGTTCAAGGACATCAAATAAAATACTATCGTCTAACACTGCAATAAATTGAATATTTAATCAAAAGTCTTCACGCATACTGTCATAATATAGTATAGTATATATTATACAACAGGTTTTTTAGATACCAAGAAGATAAAAAAAGTTGCTGTTGCATAACTCAACGCGTGAATAGCAAATATTTAAAGGCGGGAGTCCTCTTCCTTGGAGAATTGCTGTCGCATGACGCCAGCTGTCTTAAGCTGTGACGTACAATACGATGTTTTAGTCGGTACGCACAGTACGAAAATAGGTGGAATAATAAGATCAAATATTTGCATTTTTTCAGCCAAAATCGAAGCTGTTTCATTGTCGATGCTGTTGTTTTTATTTTTCGGAGTTCCGGTTATCTAACGAAATCATTGGCACCTGTCACTTCGGGCTGCACAGTTGTCTTTCAATTTCTGCGCTTCTGGAAATACCGATTCTCGGCAGACCTCCATTAAGTACTCGACTGTGCAGGCGGGCAAACATTTTCACTTTTCTGTCGAATACGTAGTACGTGTATTTACACGTTCTCACCAAGACATCATCGGATACTGCGGGAACTACAGGTTGTTTTCGTCAGTCACTTCATGGATCTCCAGACCGATGATTCTGGAATAATCGCCATAGTTTAAGAAAACGTTGTAAGCGATATTCAAGATTAAAAAGGGATAATTTACTCCTGTGCACTATTTAACAGTGTGTTATATATTTGATTACTTAGATTGCTGTTTCTAAGGGAAGATAATACTGATATTTTTATATGAGTCAAATAAAAGAACTTCTTTAATATTTTGGAAAGAGGATAATCAACTTATCGATTCAAAAATAACGTACGAGCCGTTGAGATTGTCCAAGCAAAGATATTTACAATACTGTTTTGAAGGGGAACATCGCTTATTACATGTCGTTAAAAATGTCGTGAACGTGTTTATATGCACTGATTAAAAACCCATTAACATTTCAAACTTAAAAATTCAGTCTATGAAGCATGAACAATTCAACGTCACATTGTAGTGGAATGTATATTAAGTATCACATAGTAATGGAATGTATATTTAAAGATCGAAATATGACTGTTTGAAGATCAAGTTAAATCGCACATTAGGCACGCGGTGTGAATAAAGTAGTACGAATGACGGCGAACGGATCATTAGGACTTTCTCCATCAAACAGTTTTTCAGATTAGCCAGATAAATAACTTAATTAAAATGCAAAACACATTACGTATACTTACGACAATACCAAACAGTAACAGGATTTAAAAAATCAAACTATATTTTGCAGGAGAATACATACATGTTACTACAGTCGATTCCGGTTATAGTGAACTTCTGGGGACTAACACTTTTGATTCACTATATCCGAAGGGTGTAAAATTAAATAGAAATTTTCCCAATGATCGATTTTATTAATATGTGTAGATAAACAGAAAATACATTAACAGCACGAACTGAAAATTTAAATACCTTTATTTGTTTTCAAAAAATCAATATTTTCAATTGCTTGCTTCGAACATTTTTCATTACTAATTTCTCTAGATCCTTCCCTAGAGTTCGTGCTCTCGCCATACTTGATCCTGCGTTGTCCACTGTCTCGAAATATCGTAAAGCAGTCTTGGAACCCTTCAATGTCCACTGTTGGAAGCCTCACTCTTCGAAGGTCCTTTTACTCGCCTAATAACACACGAGATCGGCAAGCAATCAGTAGCGGCAAGGCGCAAGCAGCTAATGAATTTGATCGCTTTTCCACGCGGCTCGGCGGGTATCGGGATGCTGCGGCAGTAATACGCTTTCTGTCGCCTTACTAGTATACAACGCGCTTTGACCTGTGGAACATCACATAACATCGAGCTTGAAACTGAGTGCTGAGTGGCATGAGATCATCAGTAAGGTCCCCATTCCGGGTCCGCTACGTTCACCTCAGAGGAGACTTCTTCGATTATGACCTTTGGTCGATCTTTTTTTAAGCTGCTTAGTGTTGGAATTGTGGCACTGAGGCGATATATTATTTTCCAAGAGGAAATTATTTCCAGGTCGTTGTATTTCCTATAACCGAGGTTCACTATAACCGAATCTTCTTATGCTTATGTGTAATGCAAGAGAAACGGGATCAGTGACTTAAGTTCAGTATAACAGAGGGTTCAATACATCCGAGATCATTACACCGGAGTCGAATGAAGCGGTAATGATTACATGTATTATTAATATTATATAAAATTATAAATAAAATTATAATAATATCTTATACAAGTACTAATTATTATGAGGACGTGCTCAAGTCATCATAATGCACGGAATTAACGAGCTCTTGGAGGATGAGGATAATCCTAATTTCACACAGAGTATCTCCTTTCTGAATGTGACCTAATAAGATGAATACGGAGTCTCTCGACAAAAGAGGCATTGAGAGCATTGACATCGATACTTCATGGGTTGCGTGACGCGTTAATGTTTGCTTGGCACGCAATATGGTCTCAATGCTTCAGCATCTCGTTGAATTTATCTCTGAATTCATGTGGGGACAGATATGCTTGATGAATTCAGACAGTTTTGAAGTTTAAAGGAGGCTCAATATATTACATTGTAATGCACTGAATCATAGGCGTGCGCACTGGGAAGCGGGGGGAGGGAGTGAAACCCCGCCCCCCCCGAAAGTTTCGAAAAGGGTCTCCATAGCCCTACGTAATAAAATATTTTATTTCCATTAATACGATCAAGTCCTCTTCATAAGCTGACAACTTGAGGAATGATGAGAAGTGGTTCTCCAAAACCAACCGGCAACCTTGTAAATAGTTCAACATAAAACCAATCGAATTAATTAATAACATGAAAGTTATAATTCAATTATCCAATATGTTTTATTTATTTACAGGTAAAATTGTTGTGTAAATAAAAAAGTTCAATGGAAAAGAGCCCAGCATTCAGTTGGCTCCCTGTATTGTTTAAGGCTGCGCATTCAATGCACTGAATAAATACATTCTATTACTTAGTATTGTCTTTCAGATCTACATCATAAAGAAAGAACAATAAAGAGCTTTATTTCAATTTTAATGTACTGTAAATAATAAAAAGCTAAATTGTGCATCTATTTGTGTTGTTATTTTAATTCCTCTCAAAATTTTCTTTTCCTTCAGGTACTCAAGCTTTGTTCAACATTTTAATGAATTTATTTATCTTAAAAACAGTCAAAGAAGCATATCACCTGTGATATAAGGGTATAATCTGTGCAGGTTTTTTTTAGGTTCCGTAATTCTTATCTTCACTTATGAGATCTGCCTCTAAATTCGGGTCCCATCCACGATCCAGGTCGGTTAAATTTTTTATTATAGAGAATTGCATTCAAGCGGTAAATTGGAGAAATCAAGTGCGGAAAGTGTATACAAAACCAAATCTAAATGTTTAGATTTGAATTGAGGGCAGAAGTTCATGATCAACACTTTCAATGGAATTACCTTTCTTGTTGAGAACGAACTCACAACGTACAATAAATATATCACCTTCATTATTCAAAAATATTTTTATTTTATTACATTACTTTATATCCATACGAACGAGTTGCGTAACACGAATTCTAGCTCTCAGAATAAGAGATACGAGATACTGAGATAAAGACCGTAAACACGCGAAAGAATTTTTACTCTATGTTTATATGAATGAGAACTCTTAGTGAGCGATAAATGATATGAAGGAAATCACCTTGAAGTTATAGTCGCGTAGCATGCTCACGGGAAAACAAGCTAAAAGCGAACTAATTAAAACCGCTTATTACCAGTAGATGTCCTGTGTTTGTCTTTGTTACGTACTTTTTAAATCTAATTTATTCTAACATATCGTTGAAGTTCATCAGACCAATGTCATAATTAGTGGCTCATTAAGCACAGATGCAGGAAGATTGAGTTTGAAAGGTCAATGATTCCTTTAAAGCAAATTTCGAAACCACATGTTATTTGATCACATTACAAACACTCAGTTTTATTTTTCATACTAGGTGTGTTGGTCGGTCCTTGTCAGACTTATCTATTGTTTATCATCCACATTTTTTGCAATAATTCACACCACAATATATCACAACACTGCATAGAATAGCATATCAACCCTATGTCTTTATTGCCACGAGAGTGTCCTAGATTGTGTCAAGAGTGAGCGATTGCCAGAATTACCCGGCGAAATGTATCTTG